GTTCTTTCCAGTCAGAAGTAATTCACTTCCAGTTATTCCTTCTGCCTGCCAAGTGCCTGTTCCTGCCTACTGCCCTTCCAACTGATGAGATATTTGGAGAGCATATGCTGCGGCCGCAGTCGTGGTAGGAGCCAGGTTAAGGGGTCGTCCCGTACTAACGTTTTTACTGTACGCAAGTTCCAGCGTGGTAGTCACGGAGAGTTGAAGCCAGGCAAGCTTAGCACCACCGATGGCGTACACTATCGGTGGTTCTTGGTACGTTCGTTATTAATACTATCAAACGCTATTTTCTAGCGATGTGATTGGCCCAATGAAACGGAGGCTAATTACGTTTTCTTTATTTGTTGGAACAAATAACTTCTCAAATGTAATCACTATTAATAGGCATTATTTTACAGTGTTAAGTGGAAAGTGGAATTAATTTACAGTTAAACCGGGCAAATTTGTTTTCAAAAAGTCGAAAATATAATGCGTCGTGCATTGCAATGCCGTTATTTTCGCCCATATTTCATGTCATTTTCTGGATTACAGTGTATGGACTTTTCATTTACTTCCTCTAGCCGGAAATAAACCAGCCACAAGGGAAAAACTTGTATAGTTTCATAAATATTTTGAATTCGGCAGATCTGAAAATACTGTAAAGTCCGCAATCCGGCGAATCTGATTGGCTTGGCGAGACAAAAATAAAACGTGATTTTGCACGTAGGTACTGGAGAAAGTATTAATCAACCACTGAACCACCGGAAGAAATTTTAAGTGACCAAGGGTTCTTTTTTCTAAATGCCATATGATGTGAATGCCCACAAACTTTGACACGAGGCTCAGGTAAATCGCGAAAACCAGTTTCGCGTGGGCAAAACTTGCAAAATGTAATACTAACGTTAGTACTGTACTTCCTCTGTCAGTGTCAACATGCGACAAATTCAGAGGAGTGAGATTTATAACGAATGAAATTCGTGCATAATATTTATGAGCCAATCACAATCAAATGTGTACGCTAATTGAAAAAAACAAATGGTGACACGAATATGAAACAGTGGAAGAATAATTCTGAATGAAAAGTTGGATAAGTCTTAATTTAAAATGAATATAAAATATTATCGAAATGTAAACAGCGCAGTTTACATTTTATAACTGAAAATTCAATACTTTGACCTAAGACATCCCTACCTATTAATAACAGTAAACTTTGTCCAAATCCTTCCAAATGTTTTCTCCATAGACCTCTCACCAAGTTTTCAACGAATATGTACTAAGTAATCAGATTCATGAACTTCGTGTTGGTTTACGTAAATCCACACCTCGAACATTGAAGTTTCGTCGGTTTCGCCACCTTCAACCTAAACCCCCCAACCTAAACCTCCTTGAATTTCATATCGCTTTGGCTAGTATACCAGAGAGCAACGTTGAGATTACGCTCCTAGATTGTGCAATGAAAGTACTTTCAAATAGAGTCAAAATTGGCCACGAAAATGCATCAATCGCGTCAGTTTACAAAATGTAACCACCTGTGTATTGGAGATTCGGTACGAATTTCTGGACCCCGTTCACAGTCAATTGAATTTCGCCGACCGAACCGAGCACCAATCTCTCCCATCGGTCAATCCGAAATTATTTGTCGCTGATTGGCTACAATCCATTTCGATTTTCTACCGGACAGGACGAAGTGGATAATAACCAATCAGATGTCTCGGCTCGGTTTGTACGAACCACAAAGAAATGGGAAATTTGAAGAAAATCGACAATACACTTTGTGAACGTCTAAAAGTATTCTATTTTCGTTTGAAAGTCAACCTGTCGAATTTCATTCAGTTACTCTAATTGATACTACTTGATACTTACTCCCTATTCACTTTTCATTGTGGGTGCGTAACGCAACGACATTCATACATTTGCCGCGAGTTGAACTTTGGGGCCCCTTACAGTAAGTAGGTGCTGGTCGCGGAATATTTCTAAGACGCAGTGAACTCAACACTTGGTCAATTACCAAGGCCGAGCCTACGAAACTCAATATCTTTGTTGCTCGAAAATTCCAGTTCAATATGAGAAAGGGCTGACTGGCCTTCTCTTACCTTAGTGAGGAGCATGAAGCGACATACACTTTGGTCAGGCAGGAAAAAACCAATCTGGGTACATACGTTTTACACTTAATCCTGTAACATACTGTACAGTACAGTACTCGAGGTACTGTACTACTAATTACTACGTAGTATACTGTACGAGACAAACGTAGTTATACGTTTAAACGTCTTCGGAGACATTCACGATCGACATGTGAACGGCAGATTTGCAAGTTTGTGATCGACACAGTCCACCGAGCAGCTCATTGCAGAACTTTCGTCCACGAAATCATAAAAGCTTCAGACACATGGCCAAAGGGAAGGAGAACGCCGCGACCAAGCAAGGTATCATCCTCTACGACCCCGACGAGTACACTCGCACCACCGGCCATCAAGTTGCGCGACGTGTGCAACCAGCGCAGGCACTCAAAGGGCCGGTACCCATGCCCATGTTGACCGGTCAAGACCTCAAGCCGAGGGGAATACGGAATCGCCGAGGATCCCTGGTGAGCTTCCGCCGCATTCAAGCCGTACCGGCTAGCTTGGAACCCCCCGCAACGTTGGCATTACACAACAACTTGCAGATCAACGCGGTGCGAGATCATCAACGCATTTCCCTGGCCAACACCATGCTTGTTCATGAAGACATTCCGATGCTCGAAGAAACCCCAGACGAAGAAATGCCATCTCGCAAGTCGTGGCGACTACGAAAGCTGTGGCGAAAATATGTTAGCCGCAGGCCACCTGTTGGGCTATTGCCACCAACTGGATTTGCGTTAACGATTAACCTCATATTTTTCACTATCGATTAACATGATTGTGAACCGCGCGTTCCGTTGGATTTTTTGACAAGGCGACTATGACGAGCGCGTAGGACTCTTGAACATCCTGATGTACATACACTTGTGACGTCACACCACCTGCAGAAGTCGCCAGTGTTCAGCTGTTCACTACGTAGTACTAGTACAGTACTATTATAGTATGCAATTGCACAACACAGTGTACTTACTGTATTTATTCCCAGTCCGATCTCAGCAAATTTTCTGGACCAGCAGTTGTGTCACAATAACTACTGTATGTAACTCAGCGCTATGGAATAATTCCCTCATTAAAACAGTTTTGACCCGAAATACTGTTTCAATGAGGGAATTATTACATCCGGATACACCTTTTCGCCAGTAGCCCTGTAAACTACCCCGGTGAGTACATACGATGCTAAATCTCCGGGGTTAACTGCATCGCTAACTACTGAGATGCACTTAACCCCTAGTAAGAGGTGAGGTGGTCTGAGCATACAAAGTTCCATATAAATCTCATGGAAACAGTATTTCGGGTCAAAGCAACAGTGTAACTGTTTTAACGAATCTTCAAAAGAGCTCTATTATTGAGGGAATTAATTGTACAGCCCTATGACGTAGAATCTGCGACAGGCACATGAATCGGTCATGGCACCATTACTGAATCAAAAGACGTAGGGTCCTCAACCACCATGGTACTGTAGCAGAATATTTCAACCTGTGAAGTCACGACAATCCCAGAAGGACAGTGTACTTCGAAGGACTAATACTGTAATACGTAGTACAAGTATTCATAATGTGGTACGAGTAGTACTAGTAGACTCTATTAATAGAAGGACCGCAGGACTCTCAAATTATTGTGAGTTTTGATACGTCGAAGTACATATTTCATGTACTACTGTAGGAGTGATTTTGCAAATGGGAATATTCCAATGAAATGATCAAATAATTCTATTGGAATATTCAAGTGGTCGCGAGTATTTGCAAATCAGCATATTTCACATAAGCCGACTCCACTCCTTGAAACATGCACTCCTAGTGTGCTGCACGCGTTATCGTCCAGTGGACGAGTGGTGAATACCTCCTTTTTGAGATCTACAGCATTGTGGGGTAAAGGTTTGTCCAGTCAGAATTTCCGACTAGAAATTTATTTGGCTGAAATTTCCAGTGGGTAGGGGTGATCTATCTTGATTTTTGTATGTGACATTTATCCGAATATAATATCCTCATTGATAAAACGCATGAAATCAGTATTTAACGTATTTGGTTTTTGGGTTTAACTACATTAATTGTACGTTAACTGTAAATAGTAAAACCTCCACTCTTCGATTTGGCCAGTTGGAAGTTTTTAGACGATGTGCTCCATACCATTTTATGTATTGTGCTTTGCACCTTTTTTGGAAATTCCAGGGTTAAATTCTTTGTTTAAAAATTTCTCAGGCGTAAATAACGTCTAAAGTGGGTGCGTTGTTTAAAGTAACTTCATCTAACGCGATGATTGGTTGGTTGAAGGTGGTTTTACAGTATTACAGGCACTTTCGTAAAACAAGGTGTTGCCGTTTTCATTCTGGCAAGCAACTTGCTTTACGTTAACACGTCAAGTTGCTTGCCGCAATGAAACTGAAGCAGCTATGGCCACATACATGACCTCCCATCCGTGATCACTACAAGCATTAACTACTCCGAGATATAATTTATAACGTTAGGGATATATAGTTTGGCTAGTCGTCGCTCTGTCCATTGATTCAAAGCTATGGCATCCATACCTACAACACTTGATCTGTACTAACGTTAGTGCTGTACGTGGTAAGCAAGGGCTCACATCAACTACACGATGTATAGTACTCCCATTTCACATCCTACTACGGTATGCATCGTTATGAACTGGTGGTTGCTCTGCATAAGTTGGCCTGGTGCTGCAACTCGATTAGTTGGCGGCTGAAATAAAGTAAGGGTTGTTTTATTCTGCTGAAATGCAAAACTTGAGTTTAGCGTTGTTTTATTGTGCTTGCAGTATTAATAACTAACGCTATTAATAGTAGCATTTTCTTGAACTTTAGTATTACTATTAATACATGAATACTTAGTATTACTACCATTAGTTGAGTTTGCAAATGGGATTACTGTATTCCAATGAAATGATCCAGTGAGTCATTTCAGTCTATGGCCATACTTCGAGTAGTAGTTCACCTTATCCGGAATGCGTTATCCGGAACCTGTCTAATTGGATGTTATGAATGTATGTATTTTAAAGGTATTGAGCCGCTCCACCCGAAATACACACGACCAACAATTTCAAATCGTTGCCCGTGACAATGGACGATGAACATGATTACGATGGCGGCATGGACGACGGCGACAACAACGAGGAAGAGCTGCAGGAGGAAGAGATCGAGAACTTCGATGAGGAAGGCAACGGCGAGCACGAAGGCGGCGTCGAGCTGTTAAACGAGGGCGAGAAGCAGGCGAACGCGAACCGCATCACGACGCGGTACATGACCAAATACGAACGGGCTCGCGTGTTGGGTACCCGCGCGCTCCAAATCAGCATGAACGCGCCGGTGATGGTGGACATTGAAGGCGAGACGGATCCCCTCAAGATCGCGATGAAGGAACTTGCGGAACGCAAAATTCCCATCATCATCCGCCGATACCTCCCCGATGGGTCGTACGAAGACTGGTCCATCGACGAGCTCATCATCGAATAATGCACCCGATTGCTCATTAACTTGTATATCTATTCGACTTGTTCTACTTTGGCGTCCTACGCTACTGGATCTTCGTACAACAACGACATGCATACAGTACGTGCGAGGCACACGAACGCGATGGAATGTAGTCGATGTTTATGTATTACACGAGGTTACCATGGCAATGCAAGTGTGGAAGCGTTTACGCAGGTGACGACAAGAAGACGAATCAAGGGGCGCAACCAACCACCTACCCACCTTGCCATGCTTCTTCCTTGAGATCACCTTAATGAACCGTGCTTTGGTACGCGCAGTACGTGCCATAGTACCCCGGGAAGCACACGCATGTGCCGGTTTGGGTGTCGCACTTGCCGCGGCCGCCGCAGTCGCGGCCCTCGTTGGCGCCGTGGCCCAGCAGCACGTCCGCGCCGCTCGGGCACTCCTTGATGGAGCAGTCCGGGCCACGATACCCAAGATCGCAGATGCACCCAAGCTGCTTGTCGGCATCCCAAGCGGCGTACGTCGGCGGACTAGGTCCGTATGAGATGATCGTCTTGAGGGTCAAGCAGATGCCGCGACGACTGCATTGGTTCGGGCACGCTGTACGCTCGCATGCCTTGCCTTCGTAGCCGGGAAAGCACTGGCACAGCCCCGTCGAGTAGTCGCAGAGGCCGCGGTTCGAGCACTCGGACGGCGCGTGCGCGACGTTGTTGGCGGTGGGAACGTCCACGAAGGCGAGTCCGCGAGGACACGTGCGGAGAGAGCAGTCGGCGCCGGTGTACATGGCTTCGATGTTGTTGGCGATCGAGTCGTCGTTTCGGAGGTAGCACGTGCACTTGTCGTTGGCACCGCACGTGCCTTGGGCGTTGCATCCGTTGGGACAGTACGCGTCCGCGGGCTGTAGGAGGAGGACGAGCGCTGCGGCAACGAGGAGCTTCATATTGCACCGAGCTGGCGAATATGGAAGTGATGGCAGCCGTTGCGAAACGAAGGGCCACACCAGCGACCGTTCGTGGCAAAGATCGAACAACACGGCGGCTTGGAACAACTTGAAAATGGATAACCTGGGAAAACGAATATATCGAATTCGAAACCTACATACAAAAGTCCTGGACAAAACCTGTGGAGCACGGAATTGTGACGCTGGAAGGTCGCGCGTCTTCGACATAACCAAGCGTCACGTCACAATGAACGAATGACATGTCTTAGCCAAGGAAGCATGGGAGATGACCGAAGGGTAGGACACTTCTAAGTTAAGCCATTGAAGGAGGACGTCTTGGCGATAGATGTAGATAAACCCAGAGGCCATGCTGGCCCTAGTGTGGTGCTAACGACGGCAACGTAGATCTGAGATGATGCACGCTATATTTAAGTACCGTTTCGCTGGCGTACTGTAGCACTAACTATAATTAGCCCGTGGCTCAATACATGTCATCTGCAGTAGTGAAGTGTTGGAGGCGTGGGAGTAGTACGCATCAAGAGTATGTGATGCTTTATAGTCTGGCTAACTAACGGCGAGGAACGAGGTCGTCTGCTAACGTTACTCCAAGCGGTAGTCTGGTCGGCAGAGTGAAACCCCAATTTGTGACACGGGGCTATTAATAGCTAACAAGCGCAGCATCCAAATCAGCCGGAGTGGCGGCGGGGGAATGCTATGACGGAGGACTGTGCCTCGCAGCAACGCCGTCCGCGGTCGGAAGGCCATCATCTCGTCTCTCAGCCTGCCACGTAAGCCAGTCCTTGGCCGTCCTATTTCTGATGTATCCATGCTTGGGATGTGTCAGGAAGCCACCTACCAGCCCCGTGCGTCGCCCCAGCACCACCCCGGTACGCTACTCAACCCAACTAACTCTACCTGTTATGCCCTCCATGATCAACATGTTGCGTCAACATGTTGCGTAGAAGCTGCGAATCCAACGCGTCCTATCGCAGTCATCGGCTTCCCCTCCCAGATCCACAACGAGTAGTTCCAGTAGTAGCAGCGCCGAGTTATTTCGAATGACCAAGCTGTCGGACTCGCCCCCAAAGCCCCCTGCGATATTGGTACGTAATATGCATGTTTTTCATGTAGTAACGAAATTGACTAGATGGACGATGAAGTGTCGGAGACTTCCATAGACAACAACGACGAGCTAAAAGCAACCAGTGAAAGTGACAACGACGATGTCCCCCCAGTGATACAGATGGTTCCGACCACTTTAACGCCGCAAGTCCCAACTGAATGGGCTGACCAAGATGACAGCCCATATGAAAACCCTGTCGATGGCAATACTGAGTCCAGGGCAGCACTGTCTGTAGCTCAAACATCACCCCCAGCAAGGCTAGCCCACGTACAACCGTCAACTCGACAAGAAGAAAACGTGTGCAAAGCAGAAAGCTCCACGGTTCAATCACATCTGAGCACCAGTGGTGATGGTGATGGCATGTATGTTCAATGGCGGAAGCAAATGGTAACACGAACCGACGACAGCGATATATTGAACGACCAATCTTGAACTGGACTGAGCATTGAACCCATCTGTGCAGGACATGGCCGAGGCTGCCCGACACAAAGTGCAGGCAGACTTGACCGAGTACTTGGCATCGTTGGCCACCAAGCAGGACGACAGTGGTAAGGCATACTAGTAATACTAGTGCGACTGGTAGTAACCTCTGAAAACGAATACTAGGATCGTCGCTCGTGACGTTCCCAGACAACTATCACACCGTGCTCAAGCTCATGACCAAGGCGGACTTGGGCCCCACGGCGCCGACTTGGTCCAAGGCGCTGCTGGAAGATGGGCTGGCCAAAAAGCAAGCACATGTACTCCAACAATTAATACAAACTGACGTTCTTGAACCTAATATATCAATTATTAGGGGGTGCTTCAACACGACGACGACGTGACCGCCCCCACGGCCTTGAACGTGAAAATTGCCCACGGGATCGCCCAAATTCGGACCTTTGACGCGAAATTGGATGCGTTGGACTTGGTATACAAAATATTTTTATTACTAATATATATATATATATATATATATATTCAACCACGTATGTTATATAGAAGCTGAAAAACCAACCATCGACAAAGACCAAGGCATTTATGACACCAGGAATAGCTCCGACACTTAAAACATCGAGCGCACAACGCATCAAGGACAAGGTGGAGGCCGCCAAAACGATGGGGGAAACAACCGACTTCATCACGAAAAACAAGCAGATGAAGGAGGCTGGGTCCAGTCTGACCAAGGCCGAAGCCACGCGGGTCGAAACTCTCCTCGACGCTCCCGTTGGTGGGGAAGTTGCTCACGAAGATGGGAATCTTCTGTTGAATCCATTCGATTGTATGCTCGACGATCGTCGTGTGGACGAGATCGACTTGTCCCTCCAGGTAAATAAATATACCTACGAACTGCCCTTTAAATCCTCAGGTTTGCAGGATATAGTTGATATAATATAAATATATTTAATTGTGACTATATATATATTTAATTGTGACTATATATATATTTACTTATGACTCTGATTATATATATTTATGACATATATATATATTTATGACATATATATATATATATTTATGACATATATATATATATTTATGACATATATATATTTATGACTATATATATATTTACTTATGACTCTGATTATATATATTTATGACTATATATGTATGACTATATATATATATTTATAACTTGGACCGACTAGGCCATGCAAGCCAAACGAGCGGCTACCCCCATGACGGACGAGGCGGCTCTGCCGTCGATCGTGTCGTCCATGGCGCACTTGAACACGACCCAGCGCCTCGCCGCCATCGACTGCGCCTTGCAATCGTTTCGGTGAGTCCACATATATATATATATATATATATATTTCAAACTATCTACCTACATTATATATATTATACATATATCTCTATAAAACTCGATTGCCAACGAGAAATGTATTAGGGACGACGCCGACAACTTGGTAGTTGGGGGGATGGATGATGATGACTCTAAGTCGGTGCGGAGTGACGCGAGCAGCGTCTGGTCCACGGCGTCCTCCCGCACAGTCACGAAGCGAGACCTCCGACTCGTCACGGCCCAAGCCAAGCTAGAAGTCCCCGAAACAGAAACAGCCCCTCGGGAGGCGATTAACCACGTGCGTTGCTTGCGTCGTTGCTTAATAACTGATTTCATAGTCTAACTTGTATGTAGTTGCTGGCAACGTTGGCCGGGATTGCAATTGAAATCGCAGACGACGACGACGAGCAGCAGCAGCCCCAAGTAGACGCCTCCATCATCCAACCCCAGAAACCCATCGATGGGCCCGACATCTCAACCCCCATCCGGACAAGGCGGACGCGGCCGACAAAGCCGCCGCCTTCGTCGTTTAGCCACTTGTTCACGTTGCCATTTGAAGCATCGCAACTTGGCAGAAAACACATTGCGCACTCGACGTTTAGGTAGTAACTAGTAGGCCTAATGGAAATAACATTATACTAGTACGTTTACTTAGTACTAAAGCCACCAACGTCACCATGTTTAACATGTGTTCAGCATATATACTAACTACAGTTCTACCAATTTTGAACTGGCGAAATGAACTCGAAAGCTGAAGACTGTACATATCCGACATGTGTAAGCTAACCAGGCAAATCAGGGGTAACTATAATTATACTCCTTCGAATAGTTAATACAGAAGCAGTGGACTTTGCTGTGTGGATTCACTGGTCATAGCCAGCAGTTACGCGCTAGTATACTAGGTACTCATAACAACCGTCGCCTTGTCCTTTTCGCTGAGATTTGGACTTGGGAACGGAATCGAGTACTAACGTTATAATACATACTAGTATTGACTCTCACCACCGGTACTATTTTAGTACAGACTGTTACCGGTAGTAGGTACTCCAGAGTACTAGTACTTCAAGTACTGTAACGTTACATGTATTCAGCGTCTAGGGGTACAAGTATGAGTATTTTGATTGGACCAAACTGATTGACGATTGGTTAAAACATCCCATTCATGAACTTGATTGGCTAGGACAATCTCTACATTTGCCAAATTCATTATTCGATCTTCGACTCCAAATGGGGCAAAATATATTTATATTTCTTAGAGTTGCACTCGGTCTTGAGCCAGTTTAGCGAGCACGGGCCAGTCCGTGGACTGGATCATCGCGATGAAGATGCCAAAGCACGCGGTCGTGCCGAGGGAAAAGCCCAGCCACACGCCCTCCAAGTCATATCCACAAGTTATCCCAATGTAGTACGCCATCGGCAGCCCAAATGCATAATACGACAGAATGTTGATCACTACAGTGGCTTATTAATATATATATTATATATATATATATATATATATATATATGTAGACGCACCAGCAGCCCGCGTTTGGAGGCCCATGCCTTTGAAAATGCCTTCGCAAATGCCGTTCATACCGTCGAATACCCCCAGCGGCACCATCACAAACATGGCCGTGGCCACGTGTCTAATAATATCCACCGAAATATATCAAAATGAAACACAAATAGCCAATAAATCCACCATAATAATAATAGTAATAATAATACTGATACAATACGGATAATAAAACCAAACTTATCCGGATAATCCCCCCAACAACCGTCCGTACTCGATGGTGAGTGGGTCACTGACAAACAAGTACGGGATGGCATGCCGGCCGACGAGGAAGAGGGAGGCCATGATCGCCGCGGAGATGCCACCGGCAGTCAGTCCGAGACGCGCGATGAGGCGGGCGCGCTGGGGCTGGTTGGCACCCAGCGCATTCCCTATAAGGACGTTCGAAGCCACGGAAATCCCGAGGTAAATCATAAAGTTGAGCGTGAGCAGCTGGCCCAAGACGGCGTTCACACTGACTGCGTGTACACTGTTAGGTAGAATCCCCGCCAAGAAGCCTAGCGCGCAGAACGCCCACCAGCTCACGGCCAGCATCGTCATGGACGGGACGCCGAGGGAGAGGAAGAGGCCGACGTGGGAACACGCATCGCGCCACTGGAACCCACGCCACCACGTGGACGTTGTCGCATGATCGTAATGGAAATATGCGACAATGGTTAATGGAAGGGCGACGGACCCGCAGACGCGGCCGACCGCGGCGCCCAGGAAGCCCCAGGACGTGTAGTACGTCAAGCAAAACCCTGTGACGACGTTCACGACCACGCCGACGCACGCAACGTACATCATGGGAAGCACAATGTTCTGCGACTGCTGCAGCTTCTTGATGAGTTCGTACACAAACAGGAACGGGATGCCGAAGATCGTGACGCGGGAAAACTGGCCCGCGTACTTGGAGATGGCCGGGTCCTGGCCAAAGAAGAGCAGGACTGACTCGGCGTGCCAGCTGAGGAGGGAGATGGGGACTAAGGCCACGCCGAGCACGATGAGTCCGCTCTGGAAGTAGATGCCGAGTTTGTCCATCTTGCCTGCATGTTAGTATATGTGAGAGACCGATAGATGGAAGGAACGATGGGAGTGTGGGAAGGAACGTACCGGCTCCATACGCTTGGGAACACAACGTGTCCATGGCAGATGCAAGACCGAATCCAATCGCGAGGGCGGTGACGTTGGTGACCGTCGCCGACATGTACGCAGCATCCACGAGAACGCTGACGTCGTCTCCTTGCAGATGACCCACAAGGGCAACGCAGATGGGACCGGGAAGGGTTTCCAGTTGATACGCGAGAAACTACAGACAGTCGTGACGAACGAAGAGCTCAAGATCACGGTTGAGAAGGAATGCGCACCACGGGCCACGCGAGATGGAACATGCGCGAGATCTCCTTGCGCACGCACGGAGTCATCTCGGTCTCGGCCTTCATGTCGAGCGTGCTGTGGTCAACGGAAGTCTCCACCGCGGCGTTGAGCGGCTGAGATTCATTCGACATGACGGCAGTACCCCTACTAACGTTAAGGATATTCAACACTGAAGCTGCACGAAGCACGACCATGGGACAGTCGAGTGACACGTTTGGGATTAGGTACCTCAATACAAAAAACAAGTCAATTTCGCACTGTATGTCTCTGTCGAACGGGTCACTTGACGCTGTCTAGGCCTTTTAGCCAATCCCAGCAACTTCGTGGGTTTCTTTAACCAATCGTATCCATTTATCAACAGCATTTTGACCAATAGTGTTGCATATTGTAATCATCTCACATGTACTACTGTATGCCGGTGAGATTTTACAGAGTGGGTGGAAATCTTGAGAAGATGCCAGAATGAATGGCTGGCATCACGTTGCCAGGTTGGAGCGCGATGGGACGCGATGGAATGTGGCGCGAACTCGATGGATTGGCTGACCATGTCGTTGAATTTGCCTGCCTTCAACAATACGGTATGTACCCACAGCTGTCCAACACCAAACGACAATTGAGTACTAACGTTACTAGTAGTACCTATTATTAAAGTACCTACTGGTACCATATACGGTACAGTATTGACTGTAACTTGGACTCTGGTCAACCTAAAGAGCTAGTTTTTTTTGCATCTTGTTGACATGCCCCTGGGATTGCATTTGCGGTCATTCTATACCTAAGTTATACTATTGGGTGTCCGTTTGAAAGGGTCGTGTGTCCAAATCAAATGGTACTAGTCACTACTAGTACTATGTAGTATCCGGAGTTGTACTATTAATAGTAACATTACTACGTATTAATATTATTAATAATACTACTCCGGAGTACTTCGTGGTATATCACTGTATTTATATCGATCGCCACATTATTGCGTTCGTTGGCGTAAATCGAAAAATGAGAAGTGCGCCGACGAATTCCAATTTTCCATGTCTCCTACAAATATATTATACTTCGACATACTTGTAAATACTATATATATATCTATATTTTGTCAAGAGAAATCTTGCTCGGTCGCTTCCCATTGGATGAAGCCTATACCGCGTTCGTACATTCTCCGTACATTCGAGTATATACGCTAAACAATGGTCCGTACATTGAATGTACGGGCCAGTTGGAATGACTGCAATTCTCAAAATCATTTGAGGAAGAACGAATATGTCGGCGGATGGAACGAAGGCGCGAGAGGTGAAGGTGGTGCTGCTGGGCGACACGGGCGTGGGGAAGTCGTCCCTGGTGCTGCGGTTCGTCACGAACAACTTCCGACCGTACTCGGAGAGTACCATCGGTGCGTCCTTCATGAGCAAGATGCTCTTGGTGGGGGACCAGGCGATCAAGTATCAAATTTGGGACACGGCGGGACAAGAGAAGTACCATTCGTTGGCCCCCATGTACTACCGCGGCGCCGCGGCGGCCATCGTCGTGTACGACATCACCCGCAAGCAATCGTTGGTGACGTTGAAGAACTGGGTCAAGGAACTCAAGCAACTCGGCCCAGACAACATTGTGATTGCGATTGCCGGCAACAAATCCGACTTGGACGACAAGCGGGTACGTTGTTGTGTCCCCATGTATCTCATCCAGGATATGAGTGTGCATGTGTCCCTAGGAAGTCAGTTCTGCGACCGCCAAAGCATACGCGGACGAGATTGGCGCCGTGTTCATTGAGACGAGTGCGAAGGAAGACACGAACGTGCTCGACTTGTTCAAGACCATCAGCCAGCAACTCCCAAGTCCTGCCGGCGACAACCATGCGCTGCCCGAGATCGTCGATCCTTATGGATCGGGAAAGGCCAAGGGAGGATGCTGTTAATGAACTCTCAATTGGTGTCACGTCTATGCCTGTATATGCATTCTCATGGTATCTGCGGCGCCAACGTATCCAGGAACTCGTTCCATCTGTCATGCGACTGCAGGTGATGCACATGCACAGGCAGCATGGTTCGCAATCGAAGCACATCGCCGAACGCCCCAGCGTCCAGCAGGCGCGGGAGGACGTCCATGTTGACCGGCGCTTCCTTCCACTGCCCACGGCGGCGATACTCACGCAGCAACTTGATTTGCAACGACGCCGGTGCTTTCCGAAACATTTCTTCGACCTGGTGGGTCTCACTGGCCGCCGTGATGACCATCTTGAGCATGGTAAAATCCCATTGATGGCATTTCTCGGGGAGCACGAGCAACGTCTAGAGCAACGCGTCGACAAAGTAGAAAGAATCGACCATTCAACGTACCAATTGGGGGGACCTCAGCAGCAGTCCGACGCGCATGAGCCCCACGCGCGCGGACACGGGAAATGCGCGCGGACACGCGGCAAACTGGTCCATGAGCACTTGCAGCAACTTTGTGGTGTGGAGATGGCGTTGCTCAGCAACGCTCAGTCGACGGCAGGCCGTTTCCAACTGGAGCAACGCCGTCGGCTTCGGGACAAACACGGAGCGATGTGTCGGCGTCGACAGCATCCGGCCGACAAACAGATCGATCGCTTGCACATTGCTAGTGTTGCATGCATTAGATATAAGGGAATTCCTCGATCTATAGAAGGGAATGCATCGGATCTAAATAAGGGAATGCATCGATCTATATAAGGGAATTCGTCGGAGGGGTATATAACGGAATTCATCGGATACTTCAACTGTAGTGAATTAAAATTGTCAAGTCGATCGACCAATCAAAACCCACAACACGAATCAAGTGGCCAATCAAATCCATTGTTCGACGAATATTCCACATTGAATTAGTGTGTGACACGATCTTTATATACAAAAGTCAGTACAAAGAATCGATGGATAGATTTGGCAAAGAATATGTCCAAGTATTGGGTACACAATATGTACCGGTTGTGGAGAAGGCACGCGTCGATGGCAAAGGACCATTCGGCGGGTGTAGTTGCAGCGCAACGGGGATCGGGGTCGAGGGGAGGCACCAAGTGGCTGAGAAACGCGTCCCATGTTGCTGGATGGTGGATCGGGTGTCTGGTCAAGTGCGCGATGGCCTTGCGGTAGTCCTTGGCTTGCACCAAGCCGAGTACTTTGTTTACCGACGGCGGCAGGATCGGCATGTCCATGTCGGCGCTGGACGCATGGAAGATCTGGTGGACGCGGGGATCGACGCGGACAGAGGGCGGCGCGGCCAAGTAGAATGTTCGCAGCGCTCGTTTGTCACGACGTTTGTGTGCAACTTGGAGGCCAGTGACCAGCAATTCCAGCTTGCCAGTCGACGGCGACGAGAGCACTTGGGCGATCTAATCAGTGCTTCTCATTATGCTAAAGTATCCATGGAGCATTGCCAGGTTCAAAGTAAACAGAAGACTTGGAGATAGAATCCAATCGAGTTGTGGGTCGTTACGAGATGCGGGAGATTCAGACGGATGCAAATGATGGTCACGAGGGCGACTCTGGTGCTGGTCAAGAGGGACGAGGAGGTCTTGAGGTGGTTGGCGCACTTGCTCGCCACCGCGGCCGCGACGGGGGACGAAGCATGGACATGTTGACATGCATAATCCACGGCAGCGAGCATGGACGCATCCGGCGGCGCGGGACACAGTAAAAACAGTTGCAGCGCCAAGTCGAAGCTATGTATACATCGTGAGGCAACCATTGAAGGACGAGGGAGAGATCGTTGTCGTACTGGCCAGCTTGAGACGCGTCGTGGAGAAGGGACGTCCATTGCGCTGTCGTGAGGGATTTCCATGAGGATACAGCTTGCACGATAGCAGGGACGTCGCGAGGGGACGCATGTTGGACGACGTGTGGGAATTGGTCGGGAGAGGCCAGACTCGCGCAAGCGACGTCGTAGTGCTGGGCTTCAATGGCCGCAGAACAGACGTGACGAAGGATGCGCGGCGTGGACGGATGCGGCGGCAGCATGTGCAGTTCATCAAGGACGGAAGGGATAGCTTGGAAGTGTCCCAGGAGCACGTGCGCACGAAGGACGGCATGACACAACCTGTTGTTAAAAATCGAAGTCGACGGTTTCAGAAAACTGAATCGACCAATCAATGACGAGATCCAGAAAATACAGGATTTTGATTGGAGGAAACATATTGTTGACAGTACGTGGGATGAGGAGCGAGGTTGAGCGCGGGAACGTTGGCGAGGACGCGGGTCGCGTCGGCGGCGTTGGCGGTGGCGACGCACGCCTCGAGAAGGGAAGCGACGATGAAGCAGTCGGCCTCGACTCCTCGATCGGTCATGCGACGAAGGAACTAGGGTGGTGGTGATGACGATATAGGGACGAGGACGAGAAAGGACGGACCTCAAACATGCTTGGCACATCTCGGAGTTGACCCAACGCACTCATGACGTTGCGGCAGCTCTGCGCGTTCCACATGTGCGTGGGCTGTTCGACGATGTGCTGTAAGATGATGGACTTGACGCGCGAAATGTCGCGCTGCGACGCATATGCGAGGACGAGACGGGACTGCAGCGTCATATTCGACGCATGAGAGGAGGCAGCGAGGAAGGTTTCCGCGCCTTGAATCTGCGGGTCGGTTAATGCGGAGCTGTATGGAAAGCGGACGTACATCGTTCTGAGCACAGTGAGCACGCACAACGAAGTCCACGACGTCTGAACTGAGCGTTGACGCGGTTGCTAGTGGCGCCATGGCGATGATATCGGTAAACTTGCGCTTGGACCACAAAGCAGCAAGGGTTGATGCGAGCAGCACCTACGTCGTGTGGTCATACAATGAAGATGCATGGAAAGACGAAAAATCATGTACGTACCTGTGGAATACCCTCGGGGTAATGTGCTTCAAGCGTACGCCACACCTGCGGAAGCAGGTCGACGTCTTCGGTGCAACTACGTTCCCACATCCGAAGGGCCTCGTCGACCGAAGGCAAGGACGATTGCATCTGTCTCCATTCCTCATGCAATGTATTGTCAAGTGAGCTTGAGGTCTTCTTCATGGAGAACAGGGCCGTTCTCACACTCCCATGACAATGTGACACCCGTCGCCGCCTCACCAGTGCCGCCATCATCCGCAACATCATGGCGCTCTTTTGACTTTTTCAACGGGGTGTCAATATGTGAACCATTATACCCTGTTTAAATGAATTTATCTCCAATTCAAGTATACCTCCGATTTTGAATATTCGATCATAACTTATCCGACAAAACTTCTACAGAGGCGAGGGAGCCAAAGTTCCCGCGCGGAAGCAACCGGTCGGTCTTGTCGACGTCGTCTATCTTCAAGGGGATGCCGAATTGGCCTCGTGGGTGCAAGTTGGCGGTCTTATCTTCGTCACTTGGCGGGGCTTTGTCCATGGTGTGGGAAGTACTGAGGACGTCCCAGAGCGGACTGAGCATGGGCACGCTTGGGTTCCCATGGAGCTCTCCATCGTGGACACCGTTCACGGGGAGCGCGGAAACAACGGGCGTGGCGTTCACTCCATAGTTTCCCCGGGGAGCGAGGTTCATGGTGCAGTCAGGATGCGACGAATTTGACGGAATCGTCACGAGCAAGTTGTAGACGAGGAGAAGCGAGAACAGGACGGCATTCGCAAAACACAGGATCATGGTCACTTGGAGATTGGAGCATCGACCGTACGTCTCCTTCGCCACGAGCTCATGGCACCCCGTCTTGAGATTCGTGAGGTACCCACACACCAACGACGTGATGAGCAAAATGATGTCGAGGAAGCGCTCGAGGATCTCGTCAAGCACACACCGTTGCATGTAGCTCACAAAAACGACATACCAAGCTCCTGCACATGCATATGCATGGGTGAGCCTTATGCACTCATGAGAACACGAGTGAACGCACCATATTGCAACGCAGTGTATCCCACGACGACGACACAGAAATGGTACGTTTGTGCATATCGATACATGTCGCCATCTTCCAGCAGGAACGAGCCGTAGGCGAGCATCATGGCAATGATGGTGGCAGTACCGATCAGCGCCTGCGTCGTGCGCATGACGCACAGGAACGCGCGGTTCTTGTCATGGAGACACCGAGGCTGCATCACCACGGATCGATCAGGTCGACTCAGTATTTGCAATACTGAGTTATTGCAAATGCAGAGCCAGGACAGCGCTGCCATCCGGATAATTTGTCGACGGCGAGACTATCAGAACCGCGTGAGCCAATCACGTGTCAGGATAAATACAGCCAGTACTATCGGATTGTAGTTTGGCGGGTCACTGGAAGGGTCTTGATGGTATTGAGTTTTCGAATGTACCTAGGTGGAGGGGGTTAAGTGACCCATAAAAACCTCATTGAAATTACTACACTCGTGCGAACGTTGCTCAGTGATCGATGTCGTTGAAGAAGACGGACGATAGAACTCACGGAATCTCAGAGCCAAGGACATTTATGTCTTCATATGAAGATCGACCTCTCAGACTTTGTGTTTACCAGCTGTGTGTAGTACGATTGAAAGTCTTCATAATGTTATACTATGGACAGCGTCACACACCAATAATAATGCCATTTTCGTAAGGCTTACTCGAGTACGGCGATTGTACCGCAGCATACAATAATGCACGCGACATTCGTCCGAGTCATAAGTAGCTCCCATGTTGCAATGTACTATATATATATGCAGACTTCCAAAATGTCCGAGACATGCAGCGTCAGAGATAACGTTCCAGTATGTATTTATAGTAACTACTAGTATACAGCATTCTTTGACTGTACTATTAATAGATCAAGAGTCGAACGGAAAACAAGTCGCCCTGTTTTGGCCTGTCTGGCAACATGAAATATTGCAATATTCAGACCCAAAACGCCATTTTGGGGCCGAATTCAACAAATCTGATGATCAAAATTGAACTGTCTTGCTTGAAGGGATTTAACCCAAATCCAACAATATTCCACGTGGGATTTACTCTTTGAAGATCAAAACGCCACATTACAACATGGACGTTTAACCTCCATTTTGAAAATGGCATTTTGGTTAAGGGTGCGTCTGGTAAAATTTCAAAAATAATATTCGATTTTCTCGCAAAATGGGATTAGGGTGCGTAACCATTTTCAAAATGGAGGTAAAAGGTCTATTTTGTAATATGGCGTTTTGAACCTCTTCAACGAGTAAATCCCACTTGGAATTATTGGATTTGGGTTAAAACTCGTCGAACAAGACATGTTTCAATTTTGATCAGATTTGTTGAATTCGGCCCCAAAATGGGGTTTTGGGGCTGAATATTGCAATATTTCCGGTTACCAGACGCACACTAAAACTCTTCAAGCAAGGCATGTTTCAATTTTGATCAGATTTGTTGAATTCGGCCCCACAATGGGGTTTTGGGGCTGAATATTGAAATATTTCTGGTTATTACTGTTAGGAAATTGATTGCTGACTTTCCGTCAACTTCATGTTGGACAAAATTACCCATTTTTACATATTGGCTAATTCGTAAATCTGGCCGATTTTGCAGCCTAAAGTGTATACACACCATGCACTGTACCCGATGACTTGGCATAAGTACTTACTGCATAGTAACTCGAAGGTTCACAACACCTGCGTGGACGAACAGTTTGTACGGCAGTATAGTAACGATCCGTTGGGCGTCGGACAAAATATACCGGAAAAAACCTGAACTCAACTTAAAGGAAAAATGGTGCACAGGACGTACAATATATACCGGTATACTTGTACTATTAATAGTAAGTAAAGTTACATGGAGATCGGTACGTTCGATTGTGAATTTTTGCGGCGGTCTGTGATTGGCTCACGGTGAGCCATTGCGTGCAGGCAACACTTGCAATATCCAACGGAGATGCCGTCATTCCCCACCATTCGCGGTGGCGGGATGAAGAAGGTTGCGTGGAACTCCATGATCGTCACTGCCCTGAGGTCGACCCAAGTGCTCATGACTGGCATGACAACCGTCTTCATGCTAATCTCGTACCGCGACGTGTCCATCAAGGAAGATGGGAGCGACTGGCGGTTTGCTCAACTTCCCCACTTCTTTGCGGTGATGGTGTCTGCCGTCGGGTTTGTGTACTCGTTGTTGTACTGCATCCTCGTCCTAGCCATGGACTACTGGAGCCACGACGTGCTGCTAGAGCGTATTGCGGACGCGGTCTTGGCCGTGTGTCTGGCCACTTGTGGCGTCACAGTCGGCAGCAACGGCGGGTGCAAGTTGCCGTCGACGCTGCAAAACTGCACCAACCTCCGCGGCACCATCGGGTGCTTGTACGTGTCTGCCGTCGTGTACTTGGTGTCCTTCGTGCACAGCATGCTCACCCAGGAAGTGTTCAATCCCGACGCGCACGAGAACCTGGTGCCGCGAGGGAACTACGGTCCCAGCATTATTCTGTCGCCGGAACCAACTGCTGCTGCGCCCAACTACGATAACACGATCGAACTGAAACCGCGAGGCAACTTTGGCGCGTACTCGTCGCCTCGATCTTTGCCATACAACGACAACACGTTGGACCTTAAGCCTCGCGGGAACTTTGGGTCGGTGCAAACCGACATGCACCCGAAGATTGCCAGGGACGACAGCGGTGGACTCATCTAAAGAAATTTTAATTGGATTAAATAATTAAATACAGTCAACCCTGTTTGTGTGTGTACGTACATATATTATTAAGGGTGAGTCTGGTATTAATAACATTTCAAAAATCATATCCCATTGTCTCATAGATTTTCCTTACTTCCATCAACCTATTGCTTAGAACAGTCGTCATTCTCAACCGCATTGTCCATGGTGAGTCCATATACCTACGTACAGTATAACGACCTTGTCGAGCTGGGGTTGACGAAAATCAAAATATAGGAACTGTAACACGGCATTTTACGGTCTAGTACGGGGAGATGCGAAAACTCATCATAACACGAAGTTATGGAAGGCCAAAATCGAGGCATTCTTGGTTGACGAAAGCAAAGTCTGGAGTTTCTTTGCAGTCATCCAACTTGTTGGACATTGGCTGCTGTACTGACATATTTTATATCGTTCACTGCATGTGCGATGCCTTGCATTCAGCGCCGTTTCAAATTGACAGAAAACTCACCAGTTCCGGATATTTCATTACGTTTGCGGATGATATATTTTTATTGCACATGTGCATGTTTCGTCATACTCGGACATGTCGACATGCGCATAAATCGAACATGGACGAACTTTGATCCGCTTTTCTCGAGCTGTGTAATACTTACAGCAATACTACTACTACTACTAGATAGACATACCATTACTAGCTCAGCCTATGCAGCATGGTCTGCGCATACACAGCTCTCTCTGGCATGAGGCATCTTACCCGCATGTACACGCTTGTTCTTGAAATATGACGAATTTGCCAATTTCGAAGTTGTCTTTCTCTACAGCTGTTGATTCAGGAGACATGCAATAAGGTGTTCTTGATAGTACTGGTTGTTGTTATGAGGAATGGAGAGTTTCGTGACCCGTTGTGCAGTATGCATTGAGAAATCGCTGACCTGCATCGCGCCTTTCCTGCATGTTCACATACACAATCTGCAGGATATATAAATAAATCGTTTGTGCAAAACGTAAATAATTATGGAGATGAATACAACAAATACACATACTTAATACAAATATCAAAATAAAAATGTTCAAGAGAATAATAATATGAAAAAGGTCGCGCGCATGCACAGGTCGTTTGTTTCCGTGGAAGTGATACAGTAGTCCCCCACAATAGCGAACCTTAGATCGCAATCCGATATTAGAGGTATCACAGGACTAAGAGGTATAAAATGCTACAGGATATTTGCTTGGGTACCAAGTCTCTGATTGGTCAGAATAATCCATATGTTTTGTCAAACCACGACAACGAAAGTGCCCTGATTGGAAAATGGATAACATATTCGAATTCAGGAGAGGGTTGATACCCTGGCGGGGGTTGATACCCTGGCGGGGGTTGATACCCTGGCAAACTCCAGAAGACAAAACCCATCACATTACAAGTTATTAAAACTATTAGTCAATTCGTATACTACTTCGTCAAGTATTCCTGTATGCAGTATGCGGTAAGCCACCCCGACATAGTTGACTTGGCAGGTAGTTTGGGCAGCTGGAAAGCCGCGAGCGCCCATTGGCGCAGGCGGAGGCCTCGTAGCGTTGGATTGGACTCATGTTGCTCGAGCAACGTTGATTTTTGTTCGTCAGCCGTACCCTCGACGGGTGTGGCGACGGCATGATTTGAGTACCAAATACTTGTTTATCATGTGTTGTGGGCTATTTCAAATTTTGAAAAAAACTCTATAAACGGATATATGAGTCTATTGGAATTTTATACATTTGGAAAGGATATCGACTTTACGTGGGTTCGGTATTGTGGGGGACTACATACTGTAGGTAGGTTCAGTTCCTGGTTGACTCGCACGTGACAACTTGAATAAAGTTGCAAATATATCCCCTCGACAATGGCACTCCATGATTCGAAGGAGTCAAGGGCCCTTATTTCTTCATAGTGATGTGTTTGTGTCCTGTTCCCGCATCACCGAGGAGGACAGCTGCTTAAAAAGTCTCCAATCCACACATCAGATGTACTCGATAAAATAGTTTAACTCACGAAGAATCCGGTTATTTCGTGGATTCAGACTCTGGAATCTGATTTTTTGTGTTCGATTGACAAAAATAAAAACCGGATTCTTGTGCAAGAATCCGGATACTGCAAACCATCATATCATGGTTTCTTGGAGGGATTGACTGATATTCTACTTTTCAGAAATACTTTGCGTTCATGTACTCGGAGTTTGGGGTTTCCGGGGTTTCGGGGTGTAATCTAATGTTTCGGGGTGTAATCTAATCTCCGAGTACAGACAGTGATGGAAGAAACGTCGCAACCGTGACTACATGTGATCAAGTTGTCCATCGCATGGTGTGTCTTCGCCAACTATTTAACCAGTTAAGACCGTATTCATCTTCGTGGGAGATGAATTATATTCCGGCGGCGCAGAATGGGCTCCGCACTCGCTGAGTCAACAACTGATGTGTATGCAACTGACAAAAGCTACGTAAACTTAGCACACGCAGTTACTTGTATCTCACCCTTGTAGAAGTAGGTACCAAGTTACTTGTATCTCTCCTTGCACAACTCTATGTGTTCGACAAAACCCGCTACGAAGTCGCTGCACCAACGAATGGACCTTGAATGGTGAAGTGGATATCTTGCCCTCCAGTAAAGTTATTTGATATGTAGATACTTGTACATCGTCGTCTATGATCACGCTATAATCGCGCACTACGCTTGTAGCGGAACGCGTCGTATTCTGTAAACCCGGCGCGATCGCCGCCAAGAAAGCGTCTACGTACATGGCCGATTTTCGTGCATGACGTGCTGCAACATTTCGGTTAGAATACTTGAATTATTCAAAATAGCACATTGTATTTCGTTTTACCTGACTGTCAAATGCTTAAATAGAGCAATGAAAAGGAGCAAAAACCAATGTAGACCAATCATATAGAACCAATAATGACCCCATGTCATGAAAGGTTCAATTTTGGGGCGAATTCGTTTGATGGTGTTCACCTGATTGAACTCTACAATCCGATATAACTACTTTGTTCTATAGCATTCTAATTTGTTCACACCTTCGTTTTCCATATATTCTGAATCATGCAAATATTTCCGAACAAAGGTTGTAGTACTAACAGGAAGTAACAAATCCTGGGACAAAGCACCACACGTGGTCGGGGTATACAGTAGGACGAAGCCGGGGAGGCCCTGGAAAATTATGTTTTGGTCGACGATTTCACTTGGGCTAAGTGGAATTAGAATTACCTTATCTAGTACTTCAGTCCGGATCTGTGGATTCGAGACCTTCTTCGTAGGTACGGGTGGGGTTGATCATGGCCGCTCGTCGTGGAGGAGATTGCTTTCGAGGTACTTGCAGTAACGTTACTGTAGTTGCTGACAATGCATGAAGGCGATTCATGTAAGTACACAGTAACTCCATTGTTATGTATTCCTCTTTCCAGTGTAGATGACCGCTCACGGTCGACCTTTGATGATAATGTACTCCAGCGAGTACATTCATCTTGTATACTAGTAGAAGACAAGATGAATGTATTAATACTATTATACGTATAGTAAATAGTATTAACGTTAATAACTAGTAAATAATACAATGAAAACGTACCAGTTTTGAAATGAGAGGCTCGATTTCTACCGGTATGGGTCGCGGACAGCATACAAATCTAAAGATACAATGAGAGACGTGGTTGGTCGAATCAGACAACCCCCAGGGAAATGGTTCAATCTCGACAGTACATATATATGACGACTATTCAATTCCAGCCATACACGAATTCACACAGCATGGCGTATTCCAAGCACAACCTGGGCTTCCTCCTCCACGCCAGTGACGCCGCCGACGATGCCGCTGCGACCCCCGACCGCACACTCACGACCTCCATGCGATCACTCAGCCTTCACCGTCGACAGCTAGTCAGTCCACGCACCGACCAGGCAAAGACACATAGGATACGCACAATGCGGAGAAGAACACTTGCAACACCCCTAAGCTCGACCACCTCTCGGGTCCCTTGGGACGTGATCGTCGCGACCCTGGAAACATACAAGCGCTTGCATGGGAACTTGCAGGTCGCCCAAGCGTTCGAGGTGCCAGTGAATGACGAGCGATGGCCGGCAGGTGCGTGGGGGCTTCGACTTGGGTGTCGAGTGCACAACCTTCGCATTGCCAAGAACACGTTACACGAGGCCAAACGTCAGGCGCTGGACGCAGTGGGCTTTGAGTGGCAAGGCCCGCGGCAGTCGATCTCGTTTGAACTCAAGTTGGCAGCCCTCACAGCGTTCAAGGCTGCGTACGGCCATGTGAGAGTGCCGCAGAAGTTCACCCTGCCTCACGCCGACGTGCTTTGGACAGGGGACGAACTCAAGCTCGGGTGTGTCGTCAACAAGTTGCGGCAGAGTCAAAGGTTACGGCGGGGTAAGAAGGGCGCCATGCCGAAAGGACACGTTGACGCGCTCAACGACTTGGGCTTTGAGTGGAGTGCAACGATGGACACTTGAGTCATGTGACAAAACGGGTTGCAGATGGTGTTGTCAAGTGTCCTACGTACGTTAGCTCAATGAACTGCAACATGGCTTTATTTCAAGTCCACGAATAATACTATTTTAATAGTACTAGTATAATCTGTACTAGTACGAGCTGGAGAATCCATTCTCCTTATTACTAGCGTTTTATTTCACTAACGTTAGAGTTTATATGTAATTAAATAATTTGCGAGTTGAATTGTGTTTCTGATAGTATCGAGCAATCTTTTACATCCTAACGTTACTATTACAGTACTAATCGTACTGAATTCTTTTTCTCGAGGCAGCCAATCACACCTGCCGTCGATTTATCGTCAGTGTTCGGATTGGGTTTTTCACGAAAAGACGACCGATTTCTGAATCTGTGGCATTTGATTCGTTGAATTCAGGCTTATTCGGCTATTGTTTTGTTGTTTTAAAGCGTGGGACAAGTAGTCAGTACATCTGCGCCTGTCGCACATGACTAAAGAACGACACCTTGGACTGAAGGCGATATATGTAGTGCTAAATATTGACACCAGCGACATGAGACAACGTAAAGCGTTCTTGCTGTAAATATTGGAGATATTTTTTTACGCCAATCTTTCCACTCACAAGGAGCTCCATCCATCGAGCGCTTTTCTTCTATGGCTACCTATACCAAAGTACTCAATCGTTGAACTTCAACAAAATACCATCATTCACGCACCAAATCGAATAAACGCACGTTTTATGTCCACTTGCCACATGGATGGTGCAAGTGGCGTTGTTGGTTGGCGGCTCCATAAGTGCGTGCTGCTGTTGTTCTGCCACACGCTTCTCCTCGTACTAGTAATCAATACATAGCGTTCATACTAGTATGTTGTCGTGCTATATCCTTCCGTTGTTTCAGTATCATTGCTGACCGATGTGGGGATATCGAATGATGCAAAGCCATCTATATCTTACACTAACTATACGGTACACTGTACGAAGGTTCTTCTCCATTTCAGAGAAAAAGTCGAACGTTTTTTGGATGGCAAGAAGTTTACCTCAAGACTTGGAGTTTAACGCACTAGCAGCCATAGCGAAGTGAGCAGACCCGTCAAGTGACTTATGGTAAGTTACTGTACCCACAATTCCTTCGTCGTCATTGTCACGAAGTTAGCTCAATAAGCAGCGTCGATATCTGACTAACAGGTGCACGCAGTTCAATCATTCGACGACCGTTCAAAATTCTCCGTTGGACTTTACCCTATAAAACCCATTTCAGTTGGTGCGTGTTTCAAGATTCACTGAAACTGTGATCTTTCATGTTCGAATGAGGACGATTTTTAATCATTTTAACTTGAAGTTTGTATACTCTGACGTCAACGACACGATTCTTTACCTCGAAGATTCCTCATTTCCAAATATTCTCGGGACCCCTCAAGCAACCATGCCAGACCTCAACACGATCACCCAGCACTTCTCGAACAAGGTCGTCCTTGCACGCGGCGGCGTGCTTGTGTCGTCGCTCATCGCGTTCTTCACGAGCACCGGCGTGACCGGCATCAGCCAAGGCGACTACGCATTCCTCATCAGCTTCATCACGTTGTCGTACGTGCTCCTGCACTTCATCTTCGTCACGGTCCAAAAGACTGTGTCCATCTTGCCCCAGACCCAGTTGATCATCGATGGTGTCCTCTCCATCCTGTTGTTGGCCGGTGGCATTGCCCTGGCCGCCTTCCGCTGGGGATTGCCCGGTTCCGGCATCGCGGCGGTGATCTTCCTCTTCATCGCCACCCTCTTCCAAGCCGGTGTCGTCGCGTTGCAGGTGTTGGAAAAGAACGCCAACAACAACTCGGAACCTGTTGCGTTTGTCGACACCCCTGCCGACAACTACCTCAAGGCCACCACCCCCGTCGGTGAAGCCCCCGTCGTCAAGGACCCCGAACACAGCGCTGTTTAATTAACTAATGTCTATTGCTAAAACGTCCAAAACTTGGTATGAGTTTCTATGGTATTCAACCTCCATAACGAGTTGTATTGGCATTGTGCAACCCAAGGCCTTGGCAAAGCAGTCCAGTCGTTTCAGCACTCACTTCGGTGCCACAACATGTGACATGGATGCGGAAGCATTCCGAGACATTTCATGTAGGGGCCAAGTATGCATCATCTAATGGGAAAGTAAGTGTACCGGTACTCTTACGTAGTCGCAATACAGTACCGGTAAAGTTAGTGGAAGCGTTGCTTTCTGTAAGTCCATCATGTTTCATAACTAGCGCGGCAACACTGGCGGCCCCTACAAGATAAATGGAACGGGAATATCACATTGCTTGTCGGAACGGAATGGGAGCGGAATGGATCATGGTTGTAACATAAAAAACCAATTTAAGATAACTTAACCAATTTAGGATAACTTTGTATTGCCCAATCACACCTCGTTATTTGTTCGAGTCAAAACCTCTATCATATAATGCTGGCCATTCCGTCACGTGAATGAAATGCAAAAACGCGTAGAAGCCGTTGGAAATAGTCATTCAAGATTGGGTTCGAAGTACCCTAGTCGACACGGGCCATATTGGGTTGGATCTGAGGTTTTGTCGAGTGTTAAACTCGGTGGACATCCATCCACAACAGAAATCTAACTCTATAAAACAGTACCCTTGTATAAATTATATGTAACCTGTTGTAACCGCTTACCCTAAACACAGAATTTCAATGCTCAGCACATACATACTTTAAGATAAAAAAGTTATCCAAATTGGTTATCAAAATGTGAGTACAAATGCTTAGAAAGTATTATAACAAATTTACCTGTGACGTTCATCGCCTAAACTGATACGGTAGTTCGATTATGAAGTCAAAGAGGTGCGTCCTGTCTATTGGAATCACTATTCAAAACTCAAATATAGTAACGGACTCAAAAGTTATGTCCATTCTACTCCGACGCCTCCAAAAAAGTTATCTTAAATTGGTTTTTTTATACGTTACCATTATTCCGCTAAAGCACATGTGTGATACGTGTACTAGTATGCATTCATGTTAACTACAGTCGGGATAGTCCACCTACTCACGTCGCGGCATCGGCGGTGTGCTGGTAGTCCGTGCGGGGGGTTTGGACAGTGGAGGGGTCGGTCGCGTACTCGGTGCCCTCCATGGAGCGGCCGAAGTGCAAGACGAGCAGCATGAAAATCTGCACCACCACGCCAATGTACAGCACCGTGATACACGCTTGGTATGCGCTGCAGTTGACCGCGAGGTCGCAGAGGCGGCCCCACTTGCTGGCGGACAGCACGATTGCAGCGACAAGCAGCGCGATGAGGATGACCCAATCCAACGTGACCTGAGTGCCGTGAGGCAACAAGCCTCCATTCCCGCCCTTCTTCACGGCAACGTACGTCCACACGAAGCCGAAGATCAAGAGGGTGTAGCTCAGGACCAACGCATAGTCCCCGGAACTGAGCCCCGTCAAGGCGGTGGCCGTGATGAACGCGACGAACATCAGCATGGTTTGGAGGCCGCGGAGGCCGACGTGGAACTGGCGGTAGTGCGCGACGACGATGCGTTCTAGCAGGGCTCGCGTCATTTTGGCAAATGCAGCAAACATGCACGCATGCAATAATGTGTATCAACGGCCGTTTCAAGATGTGTCCGTTGGAAAGGAACCAATCAACGACCAGTTCAAGCGAATACAACACTGTGATTGGAGGAATTAATTCGACAAAATGACATGTCTCTGGTTTTTACACCACCGCCGTTGTGTTGAGCTGAATGCGAACGTCCTTGAGTGGAGTCACGGGCACCGAAGGGAGATCGTCTGTCAGATCCAGCAGCGCCAATCCCGTGGAGAGGGCGTACAACAAGGTGGCGACCAACATGAATGCAACCGCAGACACGAAGCGATCACATCGGACGTTGATGGTATCGTGGCAGTGCTGCAGCTCGTCGCTGTCTGTGAGCACCAGCGCAAGGACAAGCAGCATGATCGCCAGTGCAATGTCCGATGTCATTTGACTCGAAGCGCTAGTAGAGCAGGTAGAAACATGAGCACGATTACCGGTAGGGGGGCATACCTCATTTTGGCAACCGAGCGAGACACAAGCACGCACATGACGCCGCTGTAGATGGCCGCGCAGCAGGTCAGCAGCACTGAGGCGTTGACGGCGTAGGACGTTTCAAGGCTGGGAAAGTGTTGGTCAGCCATCAACAGAGGCTTGAACATGCCACAGAGGGACATCATGGCCAGCACCGACACGACGCTTTGCAGCAACCGGACGAACGACACGCACGACTTGGTCATGGCAAAAGCAGCACTGAATCGGAACAGTATCTTGGGATGTGATTGATGGGCAGGGATTGGCCGTTCGTGGCGCAAGGAAACGATCCCAACCACAGAACAAACCCCAAGCTCGTATACATTCACACTGATGGACTCTGACCAAGCTACATCATAGCTTCCACATAAACACTTGCGGTGCGTTATTGGGCGACTGTGTAGGTTTCGACCAGCATTCCAGTACACTCCAGAGTATTTTACTACGATGTGAGGTCTAAAATTGCTCTTCAAACGACAAATTTTGAGTGAAATATTGTCCATCATAGAAATGACGAACCAAATATGACCGGATAAGTGGTCGTATACCCCCATAAACATAACAAAACCTCTGATATATTATAGGAACACCTTATCTATTGTGAAGTAATAGCAAAAATTACAGGCGCACACCGGAACAGTAATTCGCGTGCATACCGAAGTGAAGCACGGGCGTTTCAAAGGTGTGAACTTTGTAAATAAGCCAATCGACTGGTGGAATTTAACCGCAGCCATGTGTAAGCGACGTTTACCACCGAGGCTCCCAATCCCACAGCAGCGCCAAACCTGCAGAGATGACGTACAACGACGTGGCAATTATCATAAATGCAATGGAAGTCCGTAAATGGCCACAACTAACGTTGATGCGGTCACGGCAGTGCAGCAGGTCATCGCTGAGTATGAGCACCTCTGCCACGACAAACAACATGATCGCCAGTGCAATGTCCCCAGTGACTTGACTCGTCGTGCTAGGGTAGACCGAAGCATGAGCTCGACACGAGTTGGGAGGACATACCTCAATATGACAGAGCGAATCTCTAGCACACACATGACGCTGCTGTAGATGACCGCGGCGCAGGAGAGTACCACGGCTGCAATGATGGCGTAAAAGGTTTCAAGAAATGATTGGCTAGCAACTGACACAGGCTGGAAGATGCCACAGAGGTACAGCATTGCCAGCAGCGACGTGACGCTTTGCAGCAACCGGAGGAACGACACCCACAACTTCCGCATGGCAAAAACGGCACTGGGCAAAACCCACGAAAGTGCCTCAGGATGATGGAATTGATGGGTTCACAACAATCAAACACCAACTTTATATAGGGAATGACTTGATGGGAGTGCTACGGTGATGTATCCTGACCAAACTAGTAGTTTTACATCAAGCACATTTTCGGCCCAGAGATCAAATCAACTCGATAACCATGCTTTGATAACCAAATTTTGAGCTCATCTGTCAATGAAACCCCCTATGAAATGCTTGAAACCGGTTCGATTTGAGACTGTGATCTGCCCTAAAGTGCTACGAGTTAGCTCTACTATACGTATAGTAGTTCACGAGGCCAAAGTGAGGGTTGATCTATATAATGTAGAGTGGAAGCTCGGAATGTCTGTCGGACAATTTGGTCCATTGTCAATGGACATTTCAAACGTGTGATCGTTGAACCAAGTTGAAGCAAACACGACACTTTGATTGGAGGAATACATCGAGCGATGTTTAGTCCAGGTTTTCAGCCCCCACGCCTACGGATGCTGAGTACAAACAGAAGCTGACAATGAAGAATATAACCGCTGCCCAGATGCACTCGCAGCGGACATTGATGCTTTCAGTGCAGCGCCACAGGTCGTCGCTGGTCAAGAACACCAACGCCAGGGCGATCATCGTCATCGTCAGTGCACAGTCCGCCATCATTTGCATCTTAATGCTAGGGCAAACACACAAGTGTCAGCACGACTTGAGTTGTGGGGATATACCTCATATTGGCAGAGCGATACTCAAGCGCACACATGACGCCGCTGTAGATGGCCGCACCGCTGGTCAGTAGCATGGCTGCAATGATGGCGTAGGAGGACCCGAGAACTAGCGATGGCTTCCCAACAGTTGGCACTGGCTTGAAGATGCCAAAGAGGGACACTATCGCCATCAGCAGCACGGCGCTTTGCAGAAATCGGACAAACGCGAGGCACGACTTGGTCATGACAAATAAAGCACACCCTACTGTAGTAGAAACATGGGATTCATTGATGGGGTTCGGCCGTTGTGAAGGAACAGGACGTTGAACGTTAGTTACCAAGCAATAGTGATCACTTCCGACTAAGCTGTAGTTAACGTACTGTAACACGTACTAGTAACCTCTCATTACTACTCGGAGTACATAATACTAACTACTACATTACCACGATTTTTGCCAACAGTACACCTGTTACCAAGCGTTTCAAAGGTGTAACTGTTTGAAAGGAACCAATGAACGACAAGTTGAAGCAAACACAACACTTTGATTGGAGGAGACTTATCCACTACTTGGACTCCACCGTTGTCTTGAGCCAAGGATGATTGTCTGTCAAATCCAGCAGTGTCAACCCCGCGCACATGGCGTGGAAGAAGGCGGCGGCCATCATTAGTGCCATCGCAGCCACGAAGCGGCCACAGCTGCACTTGTGGCAGTACTGGAAGTCATAGCTGTTCCACAGCACCAGCGCCATGACAAGCAAACCCATCGCCAGTGCAGTGTCCAGACCGATTTGACCCTTTGCGCTAGAATAGACAGGATTCTTAGCTTGGCTAGAGATGCGAAGACCTGCCACATGGTATCAAAGGTCGAGCAAGAGGCGCTGCGTGCTTGTGCAAAGGAACCCACCGCCATAGGACATTGAGCGCTAGGATATCCAGGAGAGTATTAGCTCAAGTGGGGATGTGAGGACACACCACATCGCAGCGATGGTCCAGCGAGAGTTGCGCAGTGCCTATGTCTTGCGGCAACTCGCTAGCGCACACATGAGGGCGGCGTAGACGACCGCGAAGCACGTCACCCGCACCGCGGCACGGACGACATCGAAGGTTTCAGGGTGGGGGCTGCCCAGAAACTAACTGCGGCTTGCAGATGCAAACGAGGGCCAGCATCGCATAGGCCGACATGGTCACTTGGAGCGATCGAAGGAATGACAAACTTGAAGACTCGACCATGGCCAAAATGGGAATGGCATTTTTTGGAGTGATGTATCATGGTTGTTATCCGGATAACATCGGATTTATCCGAATATTCCCCATCACTACTGCAACATGATGCGTGCGCCAGTGGTGGTGGCAATTGGGCTGTCGGTGGCTGTGTCGTCGGCAGTAGTCGCTTTGCATGTGTATCGGTTGATGAAACAGCTACAAGCATGTCAAGACGCGTTAGAGAAGAAGGAATCCGCCCGCATGGAGGAGCGTGTGGGTCGAACGGCCGTTGAAAAGGTAAGTGTTGGAGTGTTGATGCCCGTAATGGAACCCAAACATGTAGGAGCTGCGCGCTATCCTGGAGGCCAAGCTGGATGTGTCCGCGGGGTACTACGTGCAGCCGATCGCGACGGTCCAATCTTGCTTTGCGCAATGTTTGGGCACACCACGACAGGGCCTGCTGGCTCCGTTGACCCGCGGTCGCGTCCTCTGCCACCGCAACATCTCTCCAGACACGTTGGACGGATTGAGCGACTTTAGTCACGTGTGGATCACGTTCGTGTTTCACGCCAACACGAACGGCAAGAACGCTCGAGCACATGACGGCCTGCTTCGACGGCCGTCGTCTAAGACCAGCCATACCTTCCGCGTACGTGCACACACTATTCAATCGTACATCCACACTATATTAGGCCAAGATCTCGCCGCCCATGTTGAAGCGTCGCATGGGCATCTTCGCGACGAGGACGCCGCATCGCCCCAACCCCATCGGCATCACTTTGGCCAAGATCGAACAGGTGGACATGGCAGCCAAGTCGATTTGGGTATCTGGATTGGATTTGGTGGAAGGGACGCCGGTGCTGGATCTCAAGCCCTATGTCCCCAGTAAGTACGAATGTCCTTCTAAATTCCTTTTTTAATATGGAATAGTGTACGATAGTTTACCGTATAGCAAGGTGCCGACCTGGATCCAACAGACCGTGCATTCCCAGAGGTCGACCCATAGATAGTATACATGTACATGGCAGATGATGCATGATGAGAATAGCGTGGTGCGGTTTGATGAAGGAAAGCAAGACGCGATGCGCCAGTGCTGTGCAGCTCATTCGGTCCACTACCAACATGAGCCCGACGTGATGATGGCAGGTACTTTGGTTGCCATGGTGGTGGTAGCAATCTGAACCCCATGCGTAGCCATTGCGCAAGTGCTGGCAGTGGACGTGCGCAGCCAAATGCAAACGACAAAGATGCAGGGCAAGATGAACCTGCTGGTGTTTGACAACGTCCACGTCAAGTACACCGTCGAAGCAGACAACAGCCTGTGCGTGCACGATATCCACGCCGCTTTGACGCCATCTTCCTCGTTCACAAGTGGTGTCGGACCTCTTTAACAATGGACGCTGCAACACAAGACCATGGTGACTTCCTTGATGGACGTCATGACCTTCCCAAGAGTGGAAACTCTTCGCCGAAGTCCACCGTGGCAGTTTCAGAATTCCATCCGGATATAGTAGATGCGTACGTTATAGGGTGGTTTCGTCAACACTTGAAAGTGATGCTATGTTTCGATTAAGTACGAGTATCCGGATACCCGAAATGCGGTACTCCGCCGCACAACGCCATTTTCAGCCACAGCATCCTGCGCATCATGTTCCAAGTAGGTCATGAAGATGATGTCAAAGTTCACATGTGTATAGACCACCTTGCGCTCCTTTTCCCGCGCGTCCTCGCGCTTCGCTTCAACCCTCGTCGTGGCTGAACACAACGGAGAAGCCCTTACTGGCGGCACCTTGAGTGCGATCACGGCTGCGTCCAAGATCGGCGGGGACATCACCGTGTTGGTCTCTGGATCGAACACTGCCAACATTGCGAAGGAAGCTGCCGCCGTGCAAGGCGTCAAGTCGGTGCTTCATGCGGACGCCGCTCAGTTCGACCATGCCATCGCCGAAGAATTGTCGTCGTTGGTCGTTACAATCCAAAAGGGCTCCAACTTTTCCCACATCGTTGCGCCTTCCAGCAACATTTCCAAGAACTTCTTTCCTCGCGTGGGGGCTGCCTTGGATGTTGCCCCCTTCACTGATGTGTTGACTGTTGTGGACGAAAACACGTTCCAGCGCCCTCTCTACGCCGGTAATGCCATCGCAACCGTCACGTCGTCCGACTCGGTAAAGCTGCTCACGGTGCGTCCCACGGGCTTCGAAAAGGCTGCCGTTACTGGAGGATCGGGTGTCGTGAGTGCCGCCCCCACTGCGCCTGCTGCGAACTTGACCCGTTTCGTGTCCGAAGAAACGTCCTCGTCTGAACGACCAGACTTGACGGCGGCGCGCGTTGTCGTGTCTGGCGGTCGCGGCTTGAAGAGCGGGGAGAACTTTGCCCTCTTGAACACGTTGGCGGACAAACTGAAGGGCGCCGTGGGGGCTTCCCGCGCTGCCGTGGACGCTGGGTTCGTGCCCAACGAGTTGCAAATCGGGCAGACGGGCAAGGTCGTCGCGCCTGAGCTGTACATCGCAGTGGGCATCTCCGGCGCCATCCAGCATTTGGCCGGCATGAAAGACAGCAAGACGATCGTCGCGATCAACAAGGACGCGGAAGCTCCCATCTTCCAGGTCGCCGACTACGGTCTCGTGGAAGACTTGTTCAAGGCCTTGCCGGAGTTGACGGAGAAAATTTAAAAGTGACGGATATCCGGATAAAGCTTTTTGCGCGCGCAATTTGTTGTCATTTCGAAATTTGCTAAGAAGGACATAAGTGGAACGGGTCGATGGAGGGATTGGCGCGGCCGCAAACATGGAACGATGCGGACAAGTTGCAGGATCACGGACATGATGAGTGCATCAGACTTGAGGGGAGTATGCGATTCCAACAGACCGAACACATGCATTTTGCTGACGTCGGTTACGAGCGTTCAGACCTTCTATCCGGACGAACGACGAGGTCGTTTCGGTTTCGCAGAACAGACGATGGGCAACGAGGCGGAGGAGTCGCGGGTGGAGAAGGAGTTCTATGTCGTGTTTGTCCTGGAGCCCGACGGGTTCCGCCATCGCATTGCTGCGACGGCAAACTCGACACTGAAACAGATCAAGGAGCAAGTCATCTCGGACCTCAAACTCACGCAGAACACCCTGCTCATTCCCGAGCTCGACGAAGGTACACATTTTTTCATGACATGTGATTCGACATGAGATGTACTCTACATGTAGCATGTGCGGCGAATGGATGCCATCCCGCCGACTTTACACTGTCCCATGCTGGTTTGGTTCTCAACAGCGAACAGGAAATGATCCTCAACGCATCCGTGGTGGCTAAGAAAATTGGATCGAGCGAATACGTGATGCCGTCTGAAATCGAAGTCACGGTTGCATCGGGTATGAAGAGAACCTCATGCACGCCCTTGTTGTATTCCCGAACGCATCCTGTGTGTAGACAACGGGGCACCCCTGACTACGTTCACGGTGCACATACTCAAGTTTACCGGCCACAAATCATACTTGGGTGGATACAGACACAAAATCACAGACCAAGTGTTTCACCATGCGTCCGCGCAGACGGTGGTGACCAAGCAAAAGTTCCGCCGGGGTCCTGCTCGATTCCATCGCGAAACGCAAACGCACAAGACCGTGACGAAAACGGCGCAGACGGTGCGGGAACACGGCACCCAAATGACTCGATGCGACTTGTTGGTGGATACGAAAGGCGACCGCGAAGTGATGCCGAAAACGTACTTCAATTCGGCGCAGCTCGAGTGCCTGCGCATGGATTCGTGTTTGCTCTTGCAGTGTCATTGGCGGGCGTACGACCTATTTGTTGTCCGCCGTTTTTTATTCTAATGGATGGTTTGTCCTAGGTACCGCGCACGATGCTTTGTGTACTCAATCCGACAGAAAAAGCTCGAGGTGTACTCGAACGACGAGCGGTTCGCTGTGGAGACCAAGGCGATGCTGGCCGTGAAACAGCGCAAGGAAATCGACCGTCGCATGCATCCGAACTCACAGCACGATTTTGAAGTTCTTTACAACGAACTGGATCAGTGGCGGTTGTATGAGACGAGGAAGGTCGAGGAGGTTGGCATGACGGACAAGGAGAGAACGGCCGCGATGGCGGCGATCCTGGCCAAGGAGACCAAGCTGTTGCAGACCATCGATCGACTGAAGAGCTCCGCGACGTCCAAGAACCGCAACGCTCGCATCGAAGCCATGCTGGACGTATTATCGCGGCCCAAGCAGTGGCAGATGAGCGACGGCATTATCAAGCCTGTGGACACGCCGTTTACGGTAAAAACCAATGTGTGCTTTCATCTAAACCTAACCGAATAAATGATTCATTCAGGTGCGCGCAAAAGAATTGAGCGAACTGTATCATGGGCTCAAACTCCCGTTGCGCAACGTGGAAGAGCGTCTCGAAGTGCTGCTGCATGTGAAATGGACCGTGAAGGAGTTCGAGTGCGCATTGACGAGGGAGCTTATGGAGCTCATCGATCGGGAAGCGGACATGCTGAATCGCGGGCGACCCGCGCAGTCGGTGGAAGGCCTGCGCAAGCGCATCTCAAACTTGTTCTTGCAGTTCATCGAGAACCCGACGTTCAACCCCGAGGCCGCGAGTCTGCGCAATATCCTCGGGAATTCATAAACACAGGTTATGTATGCAAGTACTTATCACGCCAAGTCGGTGACTTCGTGGTCCGTGCCCGCGTTCGGGTTTTGGATCACAATCAGCGCGTACTCTTTGTCCGGCGCGATCATGATCTCGTGCTTCTTGGATCGGATGCGCAGAAACGTCATGTCGTTGCTCGGGTCCAGCGTCCGAATGGTGCTCTTCGCCTTGGCCGCCAGTTGGGACAGCAGCGCGGCGTGGTCGATGGCGAACTCGTCGTCGTTCGTGCTCGAGTAGATGGGCACGCCGTCGTTGTTGACGATGAGCACGGCCTGCACGCCCTTGTGGCTCTTGATGCGCTTGATGGTTTCCTCGGCTTCGTATCCAGACTAGGCACATGCATGAACATCATCATCGCATTCCTCATACTGATGTCATGGAATCCATCATACCATCCTGCCACGGTCGAATCTGGAGTTTTGGGATGCAAAACGTCGAAGGATTTCGTTATCCGTACAACCCAATTATCCGGATCATTATCAAATCACGATTTTTGGCCAATGCATACGTTGGATTGGTTATACAAGCTTCGTTTTACCCAAAATGTGGGTGACTTTCTTTGCCAAATCTATCGATCGATACTTTGTACTGAATTTTGTATGTAGAAAGTGGTCATTGTGTACTCACACTAATTTAATTAACACACTATTTGAACAATGATGGTGGTTTCCTGCAATCTGATTGGCTAAATTCTTCTGCCGACATATTCTTCTGTGTACATTTCGTTGTTTAGAATAAACAATAACGTGAACAGTTACATTGGAACAAATAGATTCGAAAGCTACAGTATTTGGCAAACTGGCTCAAATACCAGTTTGCCTCACTCATATAATACCACCCAGCGTCGTCGTTGTATTACAACTCGTCCTTCGTCTCCACTGTCTTCTTCTTGGCCATGCGAGCTTGGAGTTTCTCAATGTTATGCGCGCCTTGGCTCACGAGCGGGTGACTCTCCCCATGCACCAAAACGGCGATCTTTTGGGCGTCTTGGAGCAAGCTCAGCGCCGCGTCGTCCTGGCCAAGGTACGTGTTTACCTACACCAAACACGAAAAACCTCTATAACTCGATATCGTATATAGAGATATACAGTACCCCCGCCAGCAGGTTCAGGCTGAACGCATACGTGATGGAGTTGGCTCCGTCGCGCCTCTTGAAAATCTTGGTGGCGACGGTGGCATATGTGAGCGCTTGGTCCAGTTGGTTGGCTTTCATGAGTCCACTCGCGAGGCCCTGGTACACCTCGGCCACCCCCGCCTCATGCGCGGCCGCCGCGCGCTTCCTTGGAATGCTGCATCAACATGTCAAGGGTTTGCTGTCATAAAGATATCAAGGCGTACGTTTCGCCCAGCCCTAGCTCGGCCAAGAGGTTCTTGTACACTTTGATCGCTTTCTTGAACTTGCCCAGGGTTTCGTATGATTCCCCGATGCGCCGCGCGGATTCGATCACGGTTTCATGGGTCTTTCCAAGTCCTTTCTCGGCGTGCGACTTGAGCAGCTTGTAGCTTTCGATGGCTTTTTCGTGCCTACGACGTGGAGTTACGTGGAAGTAGATAGCAAGACGGCAAAGACGACGCACTGATCCAAGGCCAAGTAGACTTCACCGAGGTTGCGCAGTGCCAGAGAGTACGCGGGATGCGACGGGCCGAAGATGCGCTTGGACAGGTCCACAGCCTGCACCAGCACGCGTTGCGCGGGGACATACTGCTTGTCCGCGTAGAGCACATTGCCCAGTTCGCTCAGAGTTTGGGCGAGAAGAGATGCGTCCGCCGCGCGCTTCTTGGCGTCGGTGCGGCTCTCGTGCAGGTCTTGGAGGGCTCGGATGGCCTTGTCCAGTTTGGTGGCGGATTCTCCGTACGAGCCTTTGTCTTTGAGCTTCAAGGCGTCGTTGCGAAGGATTCGAATCTCGGCTAAGAGTGGGTCATCGTCCTTCACGGGAGGAGTTCCTAGAACCAGCACCAAATATGCCGCCAGCAGCAGCAAAAACGCGGTCCACCTCATGCTGAAAATGACGTGGTGTCCGGATAAACGAGTACCACATAATATCCGGAAATTTATCTCCGCGCAATCTTATTGGCCAGAGTCAAATAAGATGCGTTTTATATTAAAACGTTGTAGATTCTGCGTTGGATTGGCTCAAACTAAAAACCATACGTCGAGATGAATAAAAACGTCCTTTGCGATCTTTGAGGAAGGTCGTCATATCAATCTTGAAGGATCATGGCGTCCGCGGAACCGATCGGGAGTGTGGTGGAGCTGCATCAGCCCTTGCACGTACTGGAGCATAAGGTGCCCTTCCGCAACCTCCTCATGGGCCTCTTTGTCTTCTACGCGGTCTCGTTCGCGATCACATGGTATCGAGTATGGTGGAATTCGCTCGCGGGAATCCTGGTGGCGGCAGTCGGTCTGCTCTGGTTCACCTTCCCCAGTGCCAAGGACGGCATTTGGCTTGAGCTGGTACATTCTTGGTCATCTTCCCAGTCTCATGCTTACTTGCATAGTACTACTACAGTTCGTTTGGCGTAATTCTGCTGCACATTGCCACAGTTGGCTTTCTCGCTTACGACTGGGTCATGTCTGACATCCAAGCCGCGTTGGGTATATCAGAAGATGCATCGCGTTCATTATGGGGAATGTACACTGCGCTAATCCTTGTCGTATCTGCCCAAGCCATCTTTTCGGTAAGCCATCGAAAACGAGGAATCCGGTTGTCCTGACTGGAGTGTCGAAAGGGGGTGACCGTGAATACCTGCCATCGTCTGCGCATGGAGCTGCAGCGTAATGGACTGGTGGCGTCTGTGCATCCTGGCTACACTGAGCTCACTTGAATCTAGATGCAATCAACTCCTAGTCTTCAATATATAACAGAGATTGTGGTGACGTTCAAACAGTTGTATTTGATCAACGTTAGCTTATATTTGGCTTAAGAGATAGCGTTGACATAGTCTGCATCAATGGCAACAGCCGTGTCGGCAGTGCGAACGGGTGCGACACCGGAAGCAGGGATATGATCATGCTCTACAACCGGAACGTCTGCTTCAATGACGTCGTCATCGTCATCGTCGTCATCATCGTCATCGTCATCATCGTCATCATCGTCATCATCGTCATCATCGTCATCATCGTCATCATCATCGTCATCGTCGTCATCGTCATCATCGTCATCATCGTCATCATCATCGTCATCGTCGTCGTCCTTCTTGCTGGCGGCAGCTTCTGACGAGGCCGCCATCAAGACTCGGGCAAAGCCAACATCGGTGGAAGCGGTGTCGATGGCCACCATCTTGGGGCTGGCGTCGTTCACGGCGACATTGGCATAGCACATGGCCAAGGCGCATGCGACAAGAGCGACGAGGACTTTCATCGTGGACGGCGGCGGTGAGGATTCGGGGAATGCGTTTCAAAATGGGGGATTCGATTCCGGATAACGTATCCGCGATCGTTCAATCGAAAACTCTCGGGAGTGTTGAAAATTCGCTATAAGCTTCCAAAATTAGCCTGGTTTGTCGAATCAATATTGAAGGATTTCTGATTGGTTGAATATACGTGTCTTTTCTGCAAGAGCCAATCAAAGTCACTCAATTAGCCAATCGCGTCGATTTGTGATTCGATTCGACGGGGTCTAGAAATTCGTATCGAATCGACAATATAGTTTTGTCGATTTTGTCCAAATTGACAAACGCGCCAAATTCCCAATTTTGCGTTGTAAATTGTACGTAAGTCAAGTACGACGTGGCACAATACAAGAAAATAGGTTGCTTTAACCATAGCTTAAACGAATAATACAATATATTCAATATATTATCGCACAAAATATGCATTTTACGTGCTTGCTCAAGGTGTCCTGGGCCGTGACGGGTATACAAATTCCAAGTGTATCCTGCCGCGTCCACAATTGACCACACCAAGAAACAGCCCGACGACGGTATCGCAGATTTGGAGCTTCTTTGTGCCATTTACGAATTCCCGTCCACGATGAAAATCCTCGTCGCTCTTGTCGCATGCGCCTTGGCCATGTGCCATGCCAATGTCGCCGCGAACGACGCCAGCCCCAAAATGGTGGCCATCGACACCGCTTCCACCGACGTTGGCTTTGCCCGCGTCTTGATGGCGGCCTCGTCGGAAGCTGCCGCCAGCAAGAAGGACGACGACGATGACGATGATGATGACGATGATGACGATGATGACGATGATGACGATGTCATTGATCCTATGGTCGAAGAAGACGATTACGAAGATATCGACATTGGCGGGGAGCGCCGGCTTGCGTCTGCTGAAGTTGAAGCGGTCGGAGTCGTACAGACTGCCGAGTCTGTCCAAGCGGAAGCTTCCATGAAGGATGACGACGATGATGACGATGATGACGATGACGATGATGACGATGATGATGATGACGATGACGACGATGACGACGATGATGACGATGATGACGATGATGACGATGATGACGATGATGACGATGATGACGATGATGGCGATGGAATCGAATCGGATGCGTTCAACAAGTCTGAGCGCGAGACGTTTCGATTGAACTCTGGGGACGAGTGGATGGGCAAGGATGCGGAAGCATTGGCAAAGCAAACGGGCGAGGACATCCAAGCCGACGGCGACTTCTAAATGGGGCACCCGTCATTGTATCTAGAACAGAGTCGCTTGTATTTTTTGCTCCACTAACGTTCGTACTAATATCATCGCGTTACGTGGTTCGAATTGCATGCTAATGGTATAGTATTATCAATACTACGAAGTCAGAGTACTGGGCTGATTGGACAGAAAGGCAGAATGAACACATGTGTGACGTGGTATGCAGAAGGACATGGAGCTCCGAGAAGCGGCCTCGGCCAAGCAGCTTCCACAACACGACCAACCCAACGACGAGTTGCAGCCATGACATGGCAGTGCCGCTGCATCCGACCTCGGAAGAAGTCGACGATGCAGAAACGGTAGCATTCTGAGAGCAGTGGCAAAACTAACCGCAACGCACGCACCATGCACGCAGTCCCACAGGTGAGACCATTCGCTGGACGTAGATCAACGCTGTATGCCTCACCTCTGCCGCGTCCATGCGTCGCTGCAGGTCGTGGAGGCGGCAGCATTGGTAGTACGGAGAAGTGACGCGCAAGGCGTCGATCCACGTCTGGCGAAGGGGTCTCACCTGCGGGACTGCGTGCATGTTGGTGCGTTGCGATGTTTCACAGTAAGTTCTGTGAATTTGCTTAGAAATGTGTGCCAATTCTGCCCAATCAGCAACGTTGAACTGTGTAAATTAATACTACTACAAAGGACAAAACCTTTTATATTGTATAACCTCGTTTCGGTCGGTTGAGATGGCGTCGCTGCCTAGCCGTGCGAATCGAGGGTCCCGCATCAACAAGTTGATCGGTGAAGAAGCGGAAGCGGACGAGACCTTCTGGAGCCATGAGGTGTGGAACGAGAGCGAAGACGAGGACTATTCCAGCGAGGCTGAGGAGGAAGATGTGGTGGACTCGGACTTTGACGAGGACGAAGCACCCGACGAGGCCGTGCACGACGGCGAAGTGGAGCTGAAGCGTCGGGAGAAGGCATCTCGGCCGCCCAAGCAGTTGCATCTGCATCGACCCCCTCCTCGCACCATCCCGCGTACTGTTACTCGTTCTCCTGCGACATCCAACGCCCCTGTGGCGCCGATTGAACCGATGGCCGTTCGTTCGTCCACGGTGCAGAAGCGTTTCTTGTCGCACGAACTCCAGCAAAAGTACACGGAAGAAGCGCGCAACATGCACGAGAAGGCGACCAAGGTCGTGGTGCGCATGACCCAGGAACAACTTTTGAAGGAAGCCGTGCTCACGGAGGTGCAGAACACGGCGTCGTTGAATCGGCTGGAGCGCCTAGAGGAAGAGAAGCGACTGGTGGACGAGATCATGCCCAAGACCAAGTACACGGGCCCGATGGTGCGCTACCACAGCGCCATCGGCAAGCCCAAGCTCATCACGTTCCTCAACGTGGACGAGTTTCCCGCGCTGTTCAAGCGGCCCAAGAACGACCATCATTCTTTGTCGAGATGACCCAGACGGAACGTTGGTCTTTTACTATTTAAAGAACCCATGGTGTTGTCTTTTATTCGGTCTTTTATTGCGTTTTCTTCTTGGTTTGGATCGCTTTGGCGACGGCGGCGTCCGTGGCGCTCCAGTAGAGACCAATTTGGGCCAAGAGGGTTCCGTTGAGGAGCATGGAGATGGCAAACCCCAGCAGCACGACTTGGTCTCCCGTTTCCTGCGCGATCCGTTGAGAGCGAGTCATGATGCGATGGAGAAGGAAGGTCTGACCTGGAGGGTGGTGAACAAGCGCGCGGCAGACCCGCCAAAGTTCAAGAACAACGTCAGGAACGCCAATTGTCCCGTGTGTCCTTGTTTAAAGTTGGACAGAATCTGCATTTCACATATCGTGAGGTGGATGGAAGAAGAGTGAATGAATGAAAAAGGGTGAGAAAGTACCTGAGGAATGCGAGCCATGACAGACAACGGAATGCCCGCGGACGGAAGCACCCAGTCGAACTCGGAAGGGAGGTAGAACATGCCTGCACCCAACGCCACGAACGCGACCACGCCAACTAATTGCGTCGACTTGGCCGCGCCAGAGTAATACCACAACAAGAGCACGAGGATCACATTCTGGATCAAAATGACGGCCGATTCACCCCACGAACTGATCGGATACCCTCGGAGGACGTTGTACACGACAGACGCTTGGAATGTAATCACTTCGAGATAGAACGACGACGGGTTGAGGCCGGCAACGTTGCCGGCAGCGACAATCTTCAAGATCTGCGGCAACTTCAAGATGAAGCTGCCAACGATGATGAGGTACCCAAGCAGCTTGGACACCACTGCCTTGCCGCACTCGACCTGGAGAAAGTCGAAGCGCGTGAAGTACGCGTCGAAGCATTGCGGCGTGAACACGCCGTACAGCAGGCCGCCCGTCGCCACGTGTCCTGGAGCCATGGAAAAATGAAAGCGGTCGTGCATAACCATATATGATTGGATAAAAAGGTGGTGATTTACGTATATTTGACCAATTAGATCACGAGAACACTCTTTTCAGGTCAGCAATTTGCGAAAGTCGGCCAGATTCAACTGTCCGTCCTTGTCCGAGTCAGCGGTGGCCACGAGCACGCGCAGGTCGTCGTCGCTGAGTTTGCCGTAGCCGAGGCTTTCAAACAACCGGGAGAGCACTTCGAGGTTCACGAACCTACAGGACATACCGTCCACAATGCGCGTCAGAGCTCGACATGGTGACGATTTCAAGTGTGTACCCAGTGCCTTCCGGGTCATACGCTCGAAATGCTTCTGCGACAGGGTCGTAGTCTGCGATATCGTTTTCGAGGAGCAGGTCGCATAGAGTTTGCTCGGTGAGCTCGGATTCATTGTTGAGAAGCACGCGGTAGTCGCGCGTAGACATGTCCTTGTAGAACACTCCCAGCCGCGACTAAAGAGACACGCTTAGTTCCTACTACAGCAAGGATACCCATCCTACTTTGAGATTGTCCATCGTCACCACGCCGTTGTGCTCGACGTCGAAGAAGTCAAATGCCGCCCGGATTTGGTCCTTGGTCACCAACACCCCTCCATTCTCCTGCATGTATGTTTACATGACGCGGGATTAGAAGTGGTAGATGGTAGGTATACTGTACATTGCGCAACACTTGGTCTGAGATGCTCGAGTCGACCACAAACGGCGAGTTGTCGTCGAATGCAGCCTTGGGTGCTGGACTCGCCATCCTTGATCAGAAATCCAAGCTTCTCGCGACGTTTCAGAATTCCAGAGGAAGAGTATCAACCAATCAAATTGCAGGCTTGTGATCTCGCTAGCCAATCAAACAACACCATGGATGGAACTGTGTAAAAGCCAAGCATTGGTTTCCATCCGTTCCCAAAGATCGATCGATCCAACGACTTTATACTATTGTTTTTCTATAAAATACCATACTGTAGTACTACTAGTAGTATGTATATGTGTAGAATAAGTGGTAATCTCAGACGTTCTTGCTATAATAAGTGAATTGTTTTAGATTACTTTGAAAGAGTACCACTCTTACTACTACTAGTATAAATAACTAATGTGACTTAACGAAAGACAGGCAATAAATAATGTATGGTTGGTACAGTAGTTTGACACGTTTGTACATAAAAGGTTACTACTCCGTGTATGACAGTGGCTTGCCTGGAGAGAAGAAGAATACCGGTATGATGCAGCAAATCTTCGCCCCACATACACATCACATGCGATGTCCACGAGCAGAATGGATACAAAGTGTACGACTAACGTCGTTATAACAAGAACAATAAATGTTTCGACTTTGTAAGTTAGTCGAACCCCGAAACCCCGAAACCCCGATTCATACATGCTGAGACTCTAATTGGACACATCAGGCAGAAATTCAGCAAAGAACATTTTCACAAAACGTAGTAAACTTATTAGTATAGTTTACACATGGGGAACCCACGCGACAGCCGAATTTGCGGCGAGATTCAACTATTTCGCCACATGGCTGAAAGAAGCTGGCTGGCTGTTTTGTAGAGCCGAGCCACCTGAAAAGCGCAATCGCGTCGTCTTTGAATACTATACTACAGTACATAGTACCGTGTTGGGCCATCTTTCAAATTGACGAGTACAACAACGAGCATGACCCACTGCGGCACCACTGTCGCCGCCGCCGCCACCAACAGCAGCAGTCCGTGGGCCAAGGAGGTCGTGCCAGTGCTCGGAAAGACCACGACCACAACATGTACTTGCCAGTCGTGCCAGCTCCCCATCAACCAAGGCCATATCCGCGTGGGGCTGATCTTTCATCACATGAACGGGTACATTGGCCTGGACTGGCACCACTTGGAGTGCTGTGAAACCCCCGACCGCCTCGCCCAAGTCGAAGGGTACGACCTGCTCAGCGTCCAAGACAAGGCCATCATTCAGGCACTTGCAGCGTCGTCCCACTGATCGCCTCAAAAACGAGGGGATCGAGTTGTTTCTGTTTCCTATTTATTCCAAAGTCAACGTGATTTACAATACTGTACTACACACGCAAACATAATGGGAACTTTGTTTCTAACGACATCGCAACTGTCTTGTCGTGGGTATATTTACAGTTAGTATTAAACTCCACTTATATTGGCACCAACGTTCGAAAGTTAGACGGTTGATAAGTGTGAGATTACTGTTTCAAAGTAAATAATGAAACTGGTTATCTATGGCTCTATGGCAATTACGGGGCCAAGAAGACAAAAAAAGATAAATAATAGATGAAGCATTTATATGTTATTTTGATCTGAAAGAAAATCCGACAGTTTCAAGCGCACTTGACCGACTTCCCCAACAAAATCTTGGATGGGGACGACACTGTCGCGCAAGGTGGGGCGCTATTGGACACGAAAAGACCGTCGTGTGCTGCTGGTGGGTCTGGACTCGGCGGGGAAGACCACCATCCTGTACCACCTACGACTGCACAAAGCCATTCCCACGCTGCCGACGTTGGGCTTCAACACGGAAGCGCTGAGTTTCCATGGACTCACGTTGAATCTATGGGACGTTGGAGGTCAAGACACATTGCGCCCGTATTGGCGGCATCATTTTACAGGCACACAAGGCATCGTGTTTGTCATTGACAGCTCGGACCACGAACGCGTGGATTTGGCCAAGGCGGAGCTCCATGGTGTCCTGCATGACGATCAGCTACGGGACGCATGCCTCCTGGTCCTCATGAACAAGCAAGATCTGGCCAAGGGCGATGTCGACGTCGTCAAGGAGCTGGCGCTGGAAGAAGTATGCCAGTCTCGCAAGTACTTGGTGCAGCCCACCGTTGCGACCACAGGCGCAGGGCTCGAGCAGGGCTTTATGTGGCTATGCGAGCACATGGTTCCACTGTAAGCAGGCTTTCACCAATGCTGAACAGTAAAACCATGCTAATAGTATATGTTAACCACGAATGCCTTTGAATGGGCACAACGGTCTGCAACTTGGATCTTTCACTGTCGAATTTTGCAAATTTCGCCCTGAATTAACTCGAAAAAGTACAAAATGAACGATGCAAATTCGCAATATTTTCGTGAAATTGGACGAAACCTGAATGATGGTAATAATTTTGCCGCCAGTTTTCAGAATTGGCTGTTCCTCAACATGCCGGACCCTGGTACGAAGGCGCAGCAACCACGGCACAAGAATGGACAGAGGAAGAAGCAGAGCCATGCACAACGTGTCGGCAGGGAGATTGCGCAAGTACTGGGCGAGCGAAAGATCCATCTGGTCGTGCGAGTGGTGGCGCTGATCGGCGAACGGTTGGCGCGAAGTGTGTTGACCGAAACGTTGTCCATGCAGAAGCAAGGGTCGACACTCAAAACTGTGACTGGACGATCTCGAACTCTTGGCGGGGCCTTCTTTACCCTCCTCAAGGAGCGCGTGACGAAGGAAACGTACAAGGACATCTACGCGTTGGAGGACCAGAAGAAAAAGGAGATGAAGAAGAGCAAGGTGCGGGCCGCCCGAATCAAGACGGAGAATGCTCTCATGGGAGGCTTCTCCACCCAACTTCACCTACATGACGACTCGAAAGACGCGGAGGACGGCGAAGTTGCCGACGTCCGCGAAGAAAACCCCCGCTTCATCGAACGCGATAGCGACCACGACATGGACGAGCCGTAGCTGCTGCTCGAATCCGTTTTATTGAATAAAACGCGTATTTTATTAAAAACGCCCTCAAGATCTTTCACTCCATACCAAAGAAACTACTATTATTGTCGATTTGATACAAATTTGGGGGCCAACCAAACCGATCTACAATCGATCTGATTGGTTGAATTTCATTGAGAAGACTTTTATTGGCTAATAATTTTGAGCTCATCTGGAGTAGCCAATCAAATCGATTTATATTCCAACGTGAAACCATGCCACAACACGAAATTTCACCCAACTCCATCCATCGACTGTGCAGTATTACTATAGTATACGAGTAATACTAACGTTAATAGTAAACTGTCGCCGTTGGTGCTAACTTTTATACCTCAAGTAGTTAGTTTTGATTTAACGTTTTAAACGCATGACGTGTTTCAGCTGTAGGTTAAACCCAATGAAGTGTACGTCCTCGATCTAGCTGTGCTTTCGGCACACCACCAAGTGCAGTCCGTACCCCAAGACCGCCAGCGCCGTCGTCCACACAAACGGACATGCGGGAATCACATGGTACGGACACTTGGCGGCGCTCTTCTTGGCGGTCCTGGCGCGCAATTGCGCCATTTCGATGGCCGTCTGGGCCCACTCCACCCCGTGGTTGTGCCCGCCTTCTTCCAGTCCAGCTCTCGCGCGGGCTTGTTTTTCGTTCAAGACGGCCAGCACACCAAACATGACTGGCACCCCCGTGTCCAGGTTGAGCTTCATGATGCCTTGGGTCACGGCTTCGCAAATGTACTCGAAGTGCATCGTCTCGCCCTTGATCAAGCACCCTACGCAGATCACAGCATCGACGTTCTCCGACAGGATCAACCGGCTCGCCGTGAACGGCAACTCGTACGCGCCAGGGGCCTTAAACACGATAATGTCGTCGGTAGCGACACCTGCCGCCGTCAAGGTGCGAATGGCGCCGTCCCGCAAGGCGTCGATGATCTCCTTGTTCCATTCCGTGGTGCAGATGCCGATGCGGAGACCTCGTCCGTCGAGCACTCTTGAGCTCAGAGCTTCCAACGCCGCCTTCTTCACTCCGTCCGCGTGCATGCTGATGGTATCGAGAATGACCAAAGCCACCAGTCCTCTGAAACCCGATAAATGCGGCGCTGCAACAGTTAGTTCACTCTAACATGTAATAATTGCTCAAGTACTAGTGTTTATTTGGCACTTTGACCCTATTTAGTGTGGGTACACACTAAATAGGGTATTCTGAATTAGTGTGTACACACTAATTCCGAATGAAAAAATCTATTGTTGGCGGCATTGAGGATCGCCGCCGTCCCGCTTGGTTCCTTGAAGTCGTTCGGCGAGGGATGTCTGTTCTGCTTCGAGAACGGCGTCGGGTTTATCGTACTACGATTCATGATAGTGCCTTCTCATGACAATAGATGCAAAGCTCACTTGGATCACGAGGGTGTTGTTGCTGTGCGAATGGGACAAGGCGCTTCGGTCTAATGGAAGGTTGGCGCGGGCCATCGCAGGAATGCGGAAGCGCTTGAAGTACTTCTTGTTGGTGGTTCGGATGATGAGCTCCTGGGAGCTTTCGTCGATCGTAATCAGGTATGTGTCCTTGGGGTATGGCAGATTGCGCACGCGCCATTCCCACACTTCGGTGGATTCGCGGCAGAGAAAGATGGGCTACGAATCATTCCTAAACATGGGGAGAAGGACGAGCATGCTTTAAACGTACGTTCGTGCCGCTGGGGATAATGCCAATGTCTTTCTCCACGACTGTGTCGACCTAAAGCATGGGTGTTCAGGTTGACGCATAACCACGTACCGACGTACGGTAGGTTCGCCAACTTCAAATTCCCATTTGCCATCTCCTCCGAGTGTTGTGGGTGCCTTCCACCGGCGAACTACGTGACACTTGGTAACTCCATCAAGGTACCATGGGTGGGGGGTTACCTAAGATTTGCGGCCGACTGTCGGCAGTATACTCCTCGACCATCTCTACGCCGTCAGCGAACGTAGTGTGGATGCGAGACCTGCCTCCAGCTACTGCGCAGTTGGACGTCCCCCCGGGATGCAGTGTGAACTACGACAGGACAACATCATCACGCCGGCAGTCAAGGCAGGACATGGCTGTACCATCGCCTTGCTCATCGCTTCCAGCTTGCTGCAAATGCAAGTTCTTTTCGAAATGACGTTTCATCGATAAGATCGCCACATATGTCAGTGTTCATTACTATATAATATATTCAGTATTCCATTTATATATTGTAGCTGATCTATTAAATACTGTTAAAATGTACCCATCTATTTGTCTTGGCAGGAATATCCGGATAAACCTTTGAAAGCTTATAATGTCCCCAGGCTAATCGTCCACCAGATTGGTCCAACATGACGGTGGGGGTGTTGGTGGTGACGTTCTTCCTTCATGCTGCCGCCATCTTCCTCTTCACTAGCGGATTCTTCCTCACGCGGTATGAAGCCACCGACGTGAGTCCATGCTCCGAGGACGCGGCCTTCCCAACCGCCATGCACAACACGCATCATCTCCGCCGGCATGAGGGCCCGCGGACAGGATGCTGGAGTAACGTCAAGTTCCCTCGCGTGGTGTACATTGTGATTGACGCGTTGCGCTTCGACTTCATGCACGAAGCTTCCCAAGAAGAGCAGCAGCAGAAAGCCGCGGACGGTGGGCAGTACTTTCTCAACCATCTGCCGCACGTGCACGCTCTCCTTCGCGACGAGCCGGCGCAAAGTCTGCTGTTCCGATTTATTGCCGACGCTCCCACCATGACCATGCAGCGGTACGTACTCCCTCTCTCTCAGTGATGTATTCCTTCGCAGGTAGTCATCTCCATTACGTACGTAGACTCAAAGGGCTGACCACGGGGACGCTGCCGACGTTCCTCGACATCAAGGACAACATGCACAGCGAAGAAATCGTGGAAGATTCGTGGATCAAGCAGCTGACGGCGATGAACAAGAGCATCGTGTTCATGGGCGACGACACGTGGGGCAAGTTGTACCCGAGCACGTTTCTGCGCAACTACTCGTACGATTCGTTCAACGTGAAGGACCTGCACACGGTCGACAACGGCGTCCTCGCGCACTTCTTCCCCGAACTGGTCAACCAAACCGACTGGGACGTTCTGATTGGTCACTTTCTCGGTATGACGTTATCCCGATCACGTCATATGACGTTGTATCTGTAGGCGTGGACCACGTCGGCCATACGTTTGGGCCCAACCACCCGTCGATGGTGTCCAAATTGCACCAAATGAACGATTTCCTCGAGCGATTGACTGAATCCCTGCCGCCCGATGTGTTGGCGGTATTCTATATATATATATATATTGTCGATTTGATACAAATTTGGGGAGGGGGTGCAATCGAATCGCGCCGACCAATCTGATTGGTTGAATTTCATCGAGAGGGTTTTGATTGGCTAATAATTTTGAGCTCATCTGAAGTAGCCAATCAAATCGATTTAAATTCCAACGAGAAACCACGCCACAATATGATATTTCACTCGAAAGCACAATATATATATATATATATATACATATATAGATCGATCTTGACGAGATATTGGTAGGTGATTCTAGGAGATCATGGCATGAGCAGCGACGGCAACCACGGCGGCGCCACGGACGATGAGACTGGCGCCGCGCTATTCTTGTACTCCAAGGCCCTGCCGCTGCATGTGCTTGACGGCACCCGATCCCTGTACGATGTGTTGTTTTATCCGGATCCGGATACTTCCACCGTGCGCTCTGTCGCACAAGTGGACCTCGTGCCGACGTTGTCACTGCTCATGGGGCTTCCGATTCCATTTGGCAACTTGGGCGCAGTGATTCCGCAGCTGTTTTTCGAGCCCTCGTCCAATCAAACGTCGCCATCTGCGTCGATTTCGTCCAATCAAACGTCGTTCAGTGCCGCGTTGGCCCACCTCAACGACGCCCTGTGGGTGAACGTGCATCAGTTGCGCCATCAGTTTACCACGTCGCAGACGATCCGGATGGACTTGCCGGCCATGCTCGATCTCGAAGCAACCTTTGCGGAAGCAGCTTTGCAAGACGGTGATGCCAAAGGTACCCACGACCTCCTGCAAAAGTACCTCGCCGACGCCCTCGCCCTGTCCCGGGCCCTGTACACGCAGTTCGACCTTGTGTGCATGGTTCATGGCGTGGTCCTTCAATTAAGTACCTTTCTGGCCCTTCACTTGACTTCGTTTCGTCCCCACCGCGTGCCCATATCCATCCTCGTTGGCATCTTGGTCGGGTTCATGTGGCCCGCGGCCGCGCGGGTGCTGCCGCCCTTGTTACCCGGCGCCCCCATGCCCCGATACGCAGCCACCATCGGCCTCTCCACCGTCGGTCTAGCGTTTGAGTGGCAACCGCCATCCTTGTCACCAAAGTTGTCACCAAAGTTGTCACCAATAGTGTCCTGGCGTCGAAGCGTGGGCGTGACCATGTTGGTAGTGATGCACTGCTTGAGCTTGTTCTCCAACTCGTACCTGGTCGTACAAGACCGCGTCGTGCTGTTTATAAGTGCGAGTAACCTGGTACTAGTTGGGATGGACCTATTGGCGCCTCCTGCTTGCTCGGGTCCAGTGACCAGGGGGACGGGTCAAGTGACCCGTTTCGTCGGGCTCTGCGTCCTCCACCGCGTGTACGCGGCGTGGCCCGTGCCCAACATTGTGCTGTCTTCAATGTCGATGGAATGGACCTACATTCCCATGCTGGTCGTGGGAGTGTGGATCGCTCGCGTGGACCCGGCCAGTTTGGTGAGTTATGTTTGCGTGTGGATGCACTGGTGGGATATTTGGCCGTTGTTCGTGCCGTGGGTGGTGTACGCGTGGGGTGGTCTGAACATTCTCACCACGCACCCCCCCTCCGTGCTGCTTGTGCTGCTGCTGCTCCACGGCCCGACCTCGCCGGGTCCGTTTGGGCTGTTTGTTGCCATGAGTTTTCTGTACCAGTCTGGGCCTAGTACTACTAGTAGTAGTAGTACTAGTATGTGGGGCTACTGCTTTCTCATCCATAGCCTGTACTTTCAATCGGGCCACGGGAATTCGTTTGCGAGTCTGCAGAACGCGGCAGGGTTTGTGGGCGTTCCCTCGTTTTACTGGCCCGTCGCAGGCACCCTCTTGGCCGTCAACACGTTTGGCGCGTTCTGGCTCGGTCTATCCCTCCTTTTAACGACCATCCGCCGACCCATCGTCGTCGCATATTTCACGCTCTCGGCCATCTGCACCAGTGTTTTCGTGGCGCTCAGTCGGCGCCATCTCATGGTCTGGGCCATCTTTGCGCCCAAGTTTGTGTTTGACGCCCTCGTGTCCCTCGTCGTGCACTTGCTCGTCCTCGTGCAAAGCTGCTGCAATCGTGTCATACTATAGAACAATGAATATGTGTAGTACAGTTGATAGTATAACGTTACTAATACATGCTGGTGCAAAGCTGCTGCAATCGTGATATACTATAGAACAATGAATATGTGTAGTACTGTTGATAGTATAACGTTACTGTATCTCAGGGTCCATCGAAGGGTCCCAAAAAGTGTTTCGGAACCTCAAGTGCCCTGAGATACAGTATACTATCAACTGTATGCGGTATTCATTGTTCTATAGTATGGCACAACTGTTTTATCTCTTTTAGTTCATTTTTCATCAACACCAATACAAATTTCGACATGATTTGAAGTTCAAAGCAATTTGGAATAAGGGTTCAATCCCGAGCCACTTGATTTCATGCAGTTACAGGGAACTTCAGAATGCAAGGCCTACGTTTTCTTCGAGTGGGATCAAGTATAAGGTCATTTGATTGGCTATCGAACTTCGAAGTACGAATTATATTCCTGCCAATCAGGTTCACCATTCGAAATAATATTCAGCGCTTCAAGTTCATTCTTTTGTATTGTGGAGGTAATTATATTACTTCGTATGCGTCAAAACAAGCTTAGAAATATATTGGGCATGAAATCAATTGTACTACGCAGTACCCATAGTATTTGTTATGATTGGTTCTATCTAATTGTACATACGCTGTTACGAGTGTACGATATTCGTACCGAGTACTACCGTTTGTACGTGGATTTGTGTGACAACAACTTATAACAAGCAAGTTATTATGATGTTACTACGGGGTCGATTCATTAAACGTGATTGACTGTGAAGTCGTTGACAGTGAGTCGGGCGACGGGCAACTTGAACGTCCACCGTCCGAGCAGCCGGTCGCACGCCCCCCTCCAGATTTAGCACGTGAGCGACCGCGTCTTGCCGTCGGGTTTGTCGACTTGGCCGGGTCCGAGCACGCCGGCCGCGTCACGGACGGTGACGGACGATGAGCAGCAAGAGTGCCGAGAAATCAACCAACCCTCCGCGATAGGTTGATTTCTGGTTTCGGGGTTTCGAGAGTCTCGAGCGACGGCGCGGGCCATCGCAGCGTAAGCTGCATGTCCAAGCTGATGCTGTACCTCTCAAACTCAAGAAAAGTTGCAAGTGATTGGTTAAAAATTTCAGAGGGATTATTGTTTTCCACCAATCATGGATCGTGGCACGAAACTACATTCGTGCCATACTATAGAACAATGAATACAGCATACAGTTGATAGTATACTGTATCTCAGGGCACTTGCCCATATTATAGAACAGTGAATACTACAACTAAGTATACTGTACTTCAGGGCCCTGGTGCAATGCTCTGCAATCGTGCCATACTATAGAACCATTCATGCAGCATGCACTTGATAGTATACTGTATCTCAGGGTTATCCCAGTCTTATAGACACGTTTGTATGTCCAGGTAGTAAATGACTTCTCAATCGATGGAGCAGGTCTTTTTAACCGAGCTAGTCGTACAAGCTGTCGTCGTACTGGATGTGGTCGTCGATGTTCTTGGCGGCGCCGTTGAGCGACTTCCACGTGATCTGGGGATCCTTCTTGAGCAACACAAATGCAATCGCGTCCTTCTTGGCCTTGTACTTGACATCGCCGATCTCGGCGTACAGCGTCGGAATGACCAGCGATCGGACGTCTTCGCCTTCAAACGTAATGTCCAAGCTCAACGATGTTGGCGTCCACTTCATGTGGATCTTGTCCTTGGAGAGAGACCCGGCGTCGGGATGGTTGACGTAGATCGTGACCTGCATATGGGATGATGATGGTACGAAGGACAATGGAGATGGAACTCATACGGTCTTGGTGGCGTCGGACCACCCGTAGGTTGAAATCACTTGGCGGACGTGGGTGGGCTCGGTCGAGATCTCGCGCGGTTTGTGGGCGTAGTAGTAGCTGTTGGTGCCGTTGCGAAGGATGTTGTCTTCCAGCGCCGACTTGGCCTTCGAGTCGTCGTCGGAAGCGTCGGGGGTGCTGCTCGCCTTCTTCGCCGACTTCTTTGCCTTCTTCTTGGCATAAGTCTGTTCGATGACAGACTCGGGAGTCTCGTCGTCGTCGTCGTCGACCAACTCGTTGGATCGGCCACAGAATCTGACGAGGATGCTGAGCAGCACCGCGGCGACGGCTATGGCCACGCCGTAGAACTGCGTGAGGGGGATAGGCACCTTCAGGCTTCCCCACGGACTCACGATCTCCACATGCTGACTGTCTTCGCTCGGGACATACAGGTACGGCACGAACAGGTCGGCTGACGGCGGCGATGCCATGTTGCAAACTTACGCCACAAACGTTTCAAAACATCCGGATATTATCGGTGGGTTATCCGAATACGATGACATTTCCGGATAATTCGGTTGTCGTTTCACACAAATGAAATAGTATCTAGCGCGAGAACAATTGCTTTTGGATCGCCTTGGACAAGATGCACGCACGTGCACGTCATGTCATGCGGCGCGGCTTCCATGGCTACAGCAACTCCACCTTCATGGGTGTGGTGCCCATGGTGCTGGAACAGAGCGCGCGGGGAGAGCGGGTGTATGACATCTACTCAAGGCTGCTGAAAGAGCGCATCGTGTTCCTCAATGGCCCCGTGAACGATCACATGGCATCACTAACTACTGCGCAGTTGCTCTTCCTCGAGTACGTTCCTGCACGCCTATCTTAGCTCATGGTGTCTCTGCAGGAGCGAGCACCCTGACAAGGATATCTACTTGTACATCAACAGTCCAGGCGGCGCTGTTACTGCTGGTCTCGCCATCTACGACACGATGCAGTACATTCAACCGCGTGTGCAGACTCTGTGCATCGGTCAAGCAGCGTCCATGGTACGCTTAGCTCCCAAGGCGACGTCTGAACATGAAGGGCGACGTAGGGGGCCCTGCTTCTCGCCGGTGGAGCGCCCGGATGTCGGTCCGCGCTTCCGAATTCGAGGATTATGGTGCATCAGCCGTCCGGCGGGGCCCAGGGTATGGCGAGCGATATCGCGATTCAAGCGGAAGAGATCTTGCAGCTCCGTCATCGATTGAATCGGTTGTTTGCCAAGCACACGGGAAAGGACTTGGCGGTGATTGAGAACGCCATGGATCGCGACAAGGTACGTCCTTCGGATATCATGAGCTGATGGAGCTGATGGGGATGCATCTAGTTCATGGACGCGGAAGGGGCGATTGCGTTTGGAGTGATCGACTCCATCTTGATGCGGCGACCCAAGCAGGAACTGGACGAGAAGGTCACGTAGGTCGATCCGTCGGCTTCCACGGATAACGTAATTAATGATCAATTTATAATAACATTTCCAGGTACTATTAAAATTAATAGTATGGCCAAATCGAAGAGTGGAGGTTTTTTTATTTAACGCACAATTGATTTAGTTAAACCCAAAATTCACAAATTGAGATCTGTCGATTCTACGTCTCAATTTGCTGAAATTTTGAGTGAAATTGGACTTTGCATCGAGAAAGGTACCTCCCTTACCCGTATTCATAATACTATTATTAATATTGTTAGCGATATTATTATTATTATTAATAGTATTTAAAAAAATAAGAACTAGTAATAATAGCGTTAACGTCAATTGTTGATATTAATTAAAATATCAACAATTGATCATTTACAATTCAGAAAAACCTCTTCCAAAATGATACGTCCACTTTACCTTCAACAATCGATATATTGAGTCTTTGTGTTGTTGCGATGGAAGTGTCGCCGAATGTGTTCGTGTCGGGGTACGACCATCTCGTGACGAAGGAGGTCATGTGGAAGCATTTTGAGGACTGCGGAACGATCTACAAGGTCGACATGATGGAGAGTGCCGGCAGCGGACGCTTCAGCTTTGTCGAGTTCACGGACGCTGCGGCGGGCCGAGCTGCTGTGGCCAACAAGGACAGGTCCATTCTGGGTGGCAGATCCCTTCGCGTGCGGTACGCGAACAGGAAAACCAACACACCTCATTCATCACCACCACCACTACCACCACTTCCACCTACGATCCCGATTGCCTTGTCCCCGCCGCCGCCTCTTGCGACCTCGCATCCACCAACCAAGACGACGACACCCATGCCCACGGAACCCCTGGGTCCGTCCGACCCAACGTCGCATTGGCTCTTTGCATCCACGACCCCTCTTTTAACACCATCGTACCTCGCAGGCATCTCGTTCGACGTGGAAACCCAGCTTCGGCGGACCACCTCATGGTATATCATCGATCTGCAGCGCAAGTTGGACCTGCCGCGGGTGGCGAGCTTGTCGGCCATGACGTACATGAACCGGTTCTTCATGCTGCACTCGTTCTCTTCCCACGACCGGTTCCTCGTCGCGTCCGCCGCCATCTTCCTCAGCGCCAAAGTGAACGAGCGCACGGTCAAGCTCACGCACGTCGCCGACGCCAGCTTGAAGCTGGCCACCGACGCCGAGAATGCTTCTTCGACCATCACTCTTCCTGCCGACATGGACTTCATCAAGTCGCGTATCCGGCAGTACGAAGTCATCCTCCTCAACTCGCTCTCGTATGATGTCGTGGTGCCGCAGCCGCATTTGGCGCTCGCGGCGCTCGCGGATCGCGCCATCGCCCAAGTGGACATGGCCAGGGAAAATGTCCTCGCGGTCGCCGACGTCTTCCTCACGGACGCCATCGCAGGTATATTTCCCGATTGTTTCAGAATCCCAAGGAATGAATGGACTATAGGCACGCTGGCTTTGCAGCTCACGTCCGACGAACTCGCGGCCGGCGCGCTCTACTTGTCGTGTCGATTTCATCGGTACGGATCATTTTCATCTATCTACGTTTTCATTTATCTAAAGAACTACTACTTATGTTTATCTATGTGCATTTTCATCTAATTTGGACATACAGGATGGACGACTGGGTACACACTACGGACGTCTTCTCCCATGTCCATATTCACATCGTGGCATCGCACTTCCTTGCCATGTACGACGTGCGTCGACTGCCGGTCTCCCTCCAAGCCGTCGCTCTAATTTTCAAATAAACAGGGTTTTTCATCTATTCTTTCCTTTTAAATAATTCGTAAGGTTCATCTATTTTCTTCCTTTTAAATAATTCATTGATCTCATTTATTTATTTCCTTTATAGGGCTCATCTATTCTTTCCTTTTAAACAATACTACGTAAGTACAGTACTTAGTACAATATGTAGTATACTGCGAGTAGAGTTGATAGGAGTTGATGAGAAGCGCAAGTATCAATCAAACGCTGTCCACCTCGACCACAGAGCCGACAACATGGACAACGAGTTGGTTGGAGCGTAGAGTTGTCTGTCACTCTTGCATAAATACACCCATTGTGTTTATGCGAAATATATTGGGCTCGTCACGAAATATATTGGAGGTTCGCAACTCTAACTGAGCAAATCACGAAATATACTGGCTGTCCACGACATAGAATGAGTGAATTCGACGTTCCCACGAAATTAACTGCCGACGTCGCGAAATACAATGAAGCTCCACGAATTTATTGTTAAACCGGATTCCACGAAATATATCAGATATATTTCGAAATTAACCGCAAAATGGTGTAGTAAGTTGTTTCTATTCATGGACTATTGTGAATAATATACTTTTGTTCTCGATATCAAATACTGTGCCTCGGATTGGAAATGCTGGATAAGGTTCACTATGGGACTGTACTCCAAGTTAGTACTACTACACCGTTGTCCGGCATACACTATTGGCGAAATGTCATTTGGAGGGGTCCAAAATAGTATTGCCTTCAGGTAACATTATATATAGGATCAAATGAATAGTGTAACGTTAGCCTACATTATTGAAATACACATACTACTTCGAAGTATTAGGGTACGTCTGGTAACATTTCAAAAATAATAATATTCCATTTTCTCGCAAAATGGGATTAACCAAAATGTCATTTTCAAAATGGAGGTAAAAGGTCCATTTTGTCCTTTCAACGAGTAAATCCCACGTGGAATTATTGGATTTGGGTTAAACCTCTGCAAGCAAGACATGTTTCAATTTTGATCAGATTTGTTGAATTCGGCCCCAAAATGGCGTTTTGGGCCTGATTATTGCAATATTTACACGGTTACCAGACGAACCCTTAGGGTACCGTGTAGGCAGAAATGACCACAAATCCACCACGTTCTTTAATAATTATGACCAACGATGGTTTAAATCCACCACATTCTCTAATAATTATGGTTTAAATCCACCGCATTCTCTAATAATTATGACCAACGATGGTTTAAATCCACCACATTCTCTAATAATTATGGTTTAAATCCACCGCATTCTCTAATAATTATGACCAACGATGGTTTAAATCCACCACATTCTCTAATAATTATGGTTTAAATCCACCACATTCTCTAATAATTATGGTTTAAATAATCGACCACATTCTCTAATAATTATGGTTTAAATCGACCACATTCTCTAATAATTATGACCAACGATGGTTTAAAGTTGCATTTACTACATGTGTGTACACGTGCTTCGTAGTATAACGTTAACTTCCATTACTTTCTGCTTTTGGCGTCTGCCATGTCGTCCAGGTCCAGGTCCTTGTCATCCTCATTTAGGTCTTGGAATGCCGCCGCCTTATCTTTGATCACGACCATCGCCAGCAGATCCTGGTTGAGCTTCTTAAAGTTGACCACTTTCGACAGCAAAAACTCGAGCACGTGCTTGGCGTCGGCGCGGTCGGGGTCGAGTTTGGGCAAAATATTTGTTGAATTCGGCCCCAAAATGGCGTTTTGGGCCTGATTATTGCAATATTTACACGGTTACCAGACGAACCCTTAGGGTACCGTGTAGGCAGAAATGAGTTTAAATCCACCGCATTCTCTAATAATTATGACCAACGATGGTTTAAATCCACCACATTCTCTAATAATTATGGTTTAAATCCACCACATTCTCTAATAATTATGGTTTAAATCGACCACATTCTCTAATAATTATGACCAACGATGGTTTAAAGTTGCATTTACTACATGTGTGTACACGTGCTTCGTAGTATAACGTTAACTTCCATTACTTTCTGCTTTTGGCGTCTGCCATGTCGTCCAGGTCCAGGTCCTTGTCATCCTCATTTAGGTCTTGGAATGCCGCCGCCTTATCTTTGATCACGACCATCGCCAGCAGATCCTGGTTGAGCTTCTTAAAGTTGACCACTTTCGACAGCAAAAACTCGAGCACGTGCTTGGCGTCGGCGCGGTCGGGGTCGAGTTTGGGCAAAATCCCAAGAATCCCCGCCGCCTCCTTCACATAGTACTCCAAGTCATCGTCCGAGCACTTGTTGGTGAGCTGTGCAAGGCGGAGCGACTCGGAGGCAAAGTGTTCATCCAGGTCGAACTGGTCCAAAGCGGGCGGCGGCATCTCCCGCAGGATCGGCGGAAACACGGCAGGTTTGAGGGGTGGGAGGGGTGTTTCAAACTAGGAAATGTCCCATTTTCGCATTGAATGGGGAAGGGTGATGGGGAAATTCCCTACCTGTGGTGGAATCAACGACAACGGTTCGTGCTTGACACCGAGCTCTTTGAACTGCGCGACCGCGTCCGGGATGAGCGACGTGTCGAACTTGAACAGGGTGTTGTCGAAGAGTTTGGTGAAGTCCTTGGGCAGTTCGTCGCCTTCCTGCATGCATGATCGCAGGCGTTCCGACAGCGCCTGGGTGTCGGGGAGGCGGTTGTAGTCGCTCAGGTCGGGGTCTTCCGCGTCCACGGGATCGAACTGGATCTCCTTGTCCTTGAGCAGCCATCGGAACAGAATGTCCTGGAGCCGACTGTTTTCATCTTTGTCCAGCCAGTCGTCGGAAAAGAGGTGCATCGACCCGAGCACGGCCAGCCGCCCAGTCTTCTTCTCCTTGGCGGGCGCGCATACCTACTCGACACGATGATCATGACGATGACGAATATCGTGGGAACGATGGGGAAAACGTCCATCTCACCCCGTCGTGGGCCCACACGGCACCGATGGGACGATTCATGGGGAACGAAATGAACCCCGAGCTCAGGATCGGCGCCGCGGGCTTCTTCACGTTCAACGTCGCCCCGTACGGGTAGACAAAGTTGAGTCCCTTTTGGGCCTTCTCGATCCCATGCGCCTTGTCTGCGGCGGGATCGCGCGCGAAAATGTCCTTTCCCTTGCCCGACAAAACGTTGGCCTACATAATACAGATTTTGAGGTGATGGGAGGAACGAACGAAGAAGGGTCGCGGAGGAGAAAGGACGTACCACTCGGGCGATTTCGCGGTTGACGATGCCGCTGGTGATGTACACTTCCTTCGGGTGATGGTATTTGTGGTACACCGTGCGGATGACCGAGTCGGGGTTGACAACGATCCCGTACTCCTTGAGGAAACTGTTGAGGTTCGTGTCGACTTCGCCGCCTTCGCCCATGCAAAAGAGCACGCTGCCGCCTTCCCGCATGTAATCTTTCAACGCTTGGAACTCGGACGAACTGAAGCGCTCTCGGACACCAGAAAACACGACCAGATGTGCTTGCTTGAGTCGGTCCAGCGACAGGTCATCCTTGTTGACTTCGACCTTGCATGTGGTCTTGAGCTTCCGCGCCAGTTTCTTGTACCCCGACGTCGGGTAGAACTCTTCCTTCTTGGATGCGTCGAACATGACGACGGTGGAGACGCCACCCGCCGCCACCTTGAGCGAATCGTCGTACCCCGGGCCCTCCGACATGGCACTGCGCCGCCACAGCCAAGAAAAGGAAAAAGTGAAGATCGCGGCGAAACGTCGCGTCCGGATACGTTATCCGGATATCCGACTTTCGCGCGCAATTGTTTCAGATTGACGGTTACTTTTCAATCTTCCACGTAAGCACCAAACGAAGAAGGTCGGTCCGTCCATGGAGAGTCCGTGGTGAATACGGCGGAACTGCATGAGAACGACGACATGAACCACCTCCATTACGTCATTAACGTCAGTATTCGCGCAGGAAGGCCACACCTTCGTACTTGAACGTCCCTGGGAGCGGCGTTTCTGGCAGCAACACGTCGCCGTCGACGGTAAACACCGTGACGTAGGACGATTGCGACTTGGTCGCTTCGATTTCCACGCTCTTCAAAGCAACAATCACAGAGTCTTGAGTGCTGGGAACAAACTTGAAGCTCGAAAACCCACGCTCCGGGGTGATGGGTCCAACGGTGCGCACTTCCAGTCGACTAAAGTCTTCACTGGCCACGATCATGACATTCGACCCCCGCTGCTCGTCTGCCGTTTCGTCGTACGCGTCCTTGGACACTCGACGGGGAAGGATGAACCATTTGCGATGCACGGCACTCCACTCGATGGCTTCGTGGATGAGGTACCCAGGGTATCCACACCCGACGAATTCGCGCACTTTCGCAAAGTTGTCGGTCCAGTCTTCAAATCGCAGCACACCATCCTTGGACAGAATGCTCACCCACATGTTGTGTGTGTTGTCGACGTCGTTTCCAGTGATAAACTCTTTGCCCGTGCTGCCCATGTACAATTCCCCGTCCTTGGCGGTGGCCCATTCGTGTTTCTTGCCCTTCGTCGTGCTGCCGTCCCCTTCCGTGACAATGGTCACAGGCACAGCGCGAATATCATGTGGCTGGTCGCTCAATTGGAACTTCTCCAACCGGAACACAAGCCCAGTGCGGTCGTCGAACGTATGCAAGTCGCCACGGCACCACGCCAGTTCACTGAGCTCAAACCCTCGACCCGCTTCGTTCAACGACGTCGTGAACGGCGCCACGTCCTTCCACGACACCGTGTACTCGACCTTGTCGTCAACTAGTTTGCGATGAAGCACGGCTTTCTGGAGGTACGACTGGAACAGCGGCGTCGTGCTGTCTGCGACCTTGCTCGCCTTGTCCAAATCTGCGACAAAGCCCAGCTCGAATGATGAAGCTCGGTGGTTCCATCCCCACGCTGAAGGACACACCGACAGCAAGCAGCCCATGGTTGTTGTGCACGTGGGCACGGAGAAATCGACTTTGGCGTCTACCCGTCGGTGACATCCTTCAGGTACTAGTACTGTACAGACGTACCAGGTACTATTAATAGTACTACTACTATTAATAGTAGTAGGTGAAATGTATGTCACCGATTATTGGAGTTTTTTTATCATTTTCCAGCAATTTGTAATTCCGTCAAAAGGTGAAATAACTATGAGCCCTGCAAACGAAGCTTGGGGTTGCTGCATCATCACACTATTAATACTACTACATACACCTTTTTGCGGTTAATTTCGAAAAATATCTGGTACTGATCTCCCCCCGACTTGGAAACGGGGTAAAATAAATATTCTCTATGACCTAATAATATAAAATGTTCAGGGAATGCAGGGAATGTTTGAATATACAAATAACATCGCACTTTTGACCGCAAATCACTTCAAGATGAAACAGCGGATGACACTGGCCGAGAAGAATGGCTTGAACGCGAAGCACAAGCGAAACCCTCAAGCTACATACAATGAATTGGCTAAATGGGCGGCGAAACAGTTCAAACTCGAGACAATTCCAACAAAATCTGCGATTGGAAAGGCCCTTCAGCGAGGCGCATCGCAATCCCAGCGCGTAGACAGGAAATCACGATATATTGATCGTGCAGTTATATCTCCCGAACTCGAAACCGAACTACTCCAATGGGTCCTACGCTGCGAGGAGCTTGGAGTCTGCCTCACGGGTGAGCTCATTCGCGAGCAGGCAAGGACAATCGCCACTCGTCTCGATCTGACCCCTTCGCAATGTTCCACCTACTCAAAAGACTGGCTTTATATGTTCCAGCGCAAGCATGGCCTTACCAGCAAGATTCAGCATGGAGAAGCGGCGTCAACCCCACGTGAAGCTGTACGACAAGGCCGTAAAGAAGTCCTAAACACCACAAGTGGTTACAGCCCGGCCAACGTGTACAACATGGACGAGACGGCCTACTTCTACTGCTTGTCACCTCATCGTTCCATCACTTGACAGCGTGTTCACGGCACAAAGAAGTCAAAAAAAAGGATCACCATGGCACTCACCACAAATGCAGACGGCTCCGACGTTACTGGCCCAATGTTTATCGGCAAATCCGTGCAGCCACGGTGCTTTCAAGGCCGGTCTTCTAGTGACCTTGGTTTTAACTACCAAGCAACCAAAAAGGCATGGATGACATCCGAAGTCTTTCAAACTTACCTCAAGACCATGAACGATCGCATGGTCGCCGAAGGCCGGAAGATTTTGGTGCTTGTTGACAACGCTCCCTGCCACGACCCCACCGCTGCCAATGATCTGTCA